CCCACACAACCATGGTCCGCGCCCAGAAAACTCAGAAAACTCAGTATTTGTCCAAATTCACAAGCTTGGTTAAACCCTATAGTTAGCCTACAACCTAGAAAGTCTAGTTTGTTTCCTTAAAGCCATGATTGTATATCTCAAACACCGAAGTAGCTCGAAGATCCCAACATGTCCGCTGCAAGGTGGTTCAAGACACCGAGCTCCGGCGCAAGCGTTTGGACCAGCTGGCCGGAAAGCGCCGCGCCTCGCTCACGGGAGTTGGTCAACCTGGTGAAACTAATAGGAACACAACCATTTTAGGGGACCCCTCACCCTCCGTGGGTGCTAAACAGCACATGCCTTGAAGGAAACCAAAGAGAAATGGATAGGTATTAAGACTCTCAGCCCCCTTGTTGTTGTCACCCAGCTCCGCTGACTGGGGTGGTATCGCTTCAACATCCCCAACACGCAACCTTGCCTGTACTTGATGCTTGTCACTGCCGCGGGCAGATGGAGCAAATGTAAAGATGGGTTGAGACTGAACACCTGCTTTTGGGTGATTTGTTACAGGGCAACTGAAGGGAAGCCATCCGTTTTAGTGGGCATCCTTCTGGCAGGGTGTTGCATCGGTGTTCAACGTTGTCGCTGAGGTGGGGGACCATGTTCGTTACACAATTGCACATATATATATATATACAATATAGCGATTTCACTCGAGGGCAAAGCGATCCTTCAGTAGTGGATCCATTGTTAGTTAGTATGTTTGTTTGTCGGTTTATTTGTGTTTGCTTGTTTAGTAGCAAGCTTGCTTGCTTGCTTGCTTGCTTGCTTGCTTGCTTGCTTGCTTGCTTGCTTGCTTGCTTGCTTGCTTGCGTGCTTGCTTGCTTGCTTGCTTGCTTTATTGTGGATTTGTTTGTTTGTTTGTTGCTTGGTTTGTGTGTTTGTTGTTTGGTTTATGTGTTTGTTGGTTTGTTTGTTTGTTGGTTGGTTGGTTGGTTGGTTGGTTGGGTGTTTGTTTGTTTGTTTGTTTGGCTGTTTGGTTGTTTGTTTGTTTGTTTGTTTGTGTGCGTGCGTGTTTGTTTGTTTTTGTTTTTGCTTGTTTGTTTGTTTGATTGATTGCTTGCTTGCTTGCTTGCTTGTTTGGTTGTGTGTTTGTTTGGTGTCTTCTTCTTTTTTGTGTTTGCTTTCTTGTATGTTTGCTTGCTTGATTGATTGTTTTGTTTGGTTGCTTGGTTGCTTGGTTGCTTGGTTATTGGTGGCTTGATTTGTTATTTGTTTGCTTGCTTGTTTGTCTGTTGTTTGTTTGCTTGTTTGCTTGATGTGCTTGTTTGGTCTGATTGTTGGTTTGGTTCATTTGTTGTTTGCGTGTGGCATGTGTGTGTGTGTGGTGTGTGTGTGTGTCTTTGTGTCTTTGTGTCTTTGTGTCTTTGTGTCTTTGTGTCTTTGTGTCTTTGTGTCTTTGTGTCTTTGTGTCTTTGTGTCTTTGTGTCTTTGTGTCTTTGTGTCTTTGTGTCTTTGTGTCTTTGTGTTTGTGTGTGTGTGTTTGCTCGTTTGTTTGTTTGGGGGTTTGTGTTGCAGCCCGGGCGTGCCAAGCGGCAAAGCAGCGAATCGCCGGAGCGCAGACTCACAGGCGGCAGAGAAGCATTGAACAAATAGCTTCAAAGTCCCCAGCCAAAAAAGCGGAGCAAAGCGCAGCAAGCGCAAGAGCGCAACAAAGCGCAGAAATCCGTCGGAGCACAGCAAAGCGTCCAATCGCACTTCATTCCAACTCTTCTTGAACCTGCTTTCACGACCAACTCACACACCCGATCCCCTCAGCGTCAGAGGGCTGCGCGGGCGAGCGGGAATAAATCAAAACGCAAAATGCGATCAGCTCTTGAAGCTGATCTGGCAGAAGACCCAGGCGGGCTGCATTAACAAGTAACAGAGTGTGCAAAGATGTGCAAAGTGTTTTTTTGCCCGAAAGCATCGCGACGGGTTCTTTCGTGCGGAGCCCTTGGAGTAACTTGCGCAGAGCAACTTGCACAGAGCGACTTCCACATATTGTCTTGTGCAGAGCGCTTGCGCAGAGCCAACTTGCACAGCTACTCGCGCACATCACCGCCTGCGCTGAGGCGAATAGTTTGGGTGGAGTCTGGGCACGATAGTGTGGGCATCGGTAGTGGGCATAGTCTGTGTGTGAGGGTCGAGTTCTTGGGTAGAGGCCTAGCATAGAGGCAGAGAAAAAGTTAATTAAGGTAAGGTTTCTATAGAGGTTCTTAACGCGCGTGAGAGAGCTCGGTTCATAAGGATCTTCTATTCTGGCGGGGTGTCATCGCACGGAATTGCGGCCCTCTGCCGGGATCGGCGTGATTGATGTCGCAAGACTGGTAACTTTTCACGCTTTTGCGGCGCCTGGATCAACCCTCTGGGGGTCGGTGTGGCCGATGTCAAAAATCACATGTTTGCATATTTTTGCTTGAAACGATTTCTCAGGCTTGGAACTGTCGATTTGGCTGTGCCTGCCTGCCTGCCTGCCTGCCTGCCTGCCTGCTGTCTGCCTGCCTGTCTGTCTGTCTGTCTGTCCTGTCTGTCTGTCTGTCTGTCTGTCTGTCTGTGTCTGTGTCTGTGTCTGTCTGTGTCTGTGTCTGTGTCTGTGTCTGTGTCTGTGTCTGTGTCTGTGTCTGTGTCTGTGTCTGTGTCTGTGTCTGTGTCTGTGTCTGTGTCTGTGTCTGTGTCTGTGTCTGTGTCTGTCTGTCTGTCTGTCTGTCTGTCTGTCTGTCTGTTTTTTGTTTTTTTTGTTGGTTGTGTGTTTGTGTGTTTGTGTGTTAGCTTGTTCCTTGTTGGTTTGTGTGTTATGTGTGTGTTGCTTTGTTCGTTTGATTCGTTTGTTTGTTTGTTGCACAGTAGGAAAATATAGTGCGGCTTGCACAGTTGCCCTTCGGATCAAGTGCTTGCCCTTGCCTTGAAGAGCCGAGTGCCCCAGTGCTTCACCACGTTGTTTGACTAGCTGTTTGATATTCTGTTCCGTGCTGCGGTTAGTTGGCTGCGCAACAAATCCGAAGTTTCGCCGCAAGTCTGTTCATAACCAACGGTTATGAAGTTTGCTTGTAGAAAACCAGCTTGTCACCACAACGACTTGGGGATAGCAGAAGGTCGGACAAATCCCACATGTGTTTGCCGAAGCTCTGCGGAAGGCGGCACGCCCCCACAATACTGCGCCAGGCAAGATCTTTCGCCTGTTCGGGCCTGACATTCATGTGTGCCATCGTCAAAACCATGGCCCACAGAAGGAGCTTTGACTACGGCACATGTGGCTCTGGGCCACATGATCTTGGTCCTCTCCCAAAATGCCGAAAACCGCCGGGTTGGGCCGAACCCTGCAACCTTGTCTTCCCTTGTGGGGCCCGACATGGGTCTGGTTGCTCAGGCAAGCTCGAGCCTGAGGGCCCCAAGACGGAGCCCGCAGAGCCCACGGAGCCCGCGCAGACAGAGCCAGCGCCTTGAGGTAAAACGCAAGCCTTGAGGCGGCCATGGCTTTGGCGGTGTGTACCTGTTGGGAAGGCCAATATAGACTAATATAAACCTTCATCTTCATGTTGGAGTCGAAGGCACTTGGGTGCTGCTCAGATTGACTTCACGTAATCGGTTGCCAAAATAGGTGCTCGACCGTGCATCCAGTGTTTTGGGGCCCTTATGCGTTCTGTGCTGCCTTCTATTGGCTTTGGGTAGACCCGTTTAATACTTGGTTTCCATAGTGTCTCAAGTGAACAAAGACTTCACTTGCAACATCTCATGCCATGTCTCCTCATGTGGGAACTTGGCTTTGGGACTGGACGGACTTCTCCTTTCTTGTCTAAGATGATTCCCACCGCCCCCAACCATGAACTCCAAACCAGTACGTCCATTGGAAAACGCGGTATCTACCCCTTAGATATCATAGTGGCTGTATCTCTTATTAAAGTTGCTCGGTTGTGGTTTTTGGCCAGAGGAAGCCACTTTAGAGCTTAGGCAGGAGTATCGGCATGCGATTCTGACCAGTCTTTACGCACCTCCACTTTCTTTGCTGGGTCTATATTTGTGTCAGTTGGCCCAACTGGGCTGGGCCCGTCTCACAACCTTGGTCAAGTTGCCCAAAAAGCCGATTCATGCCCTGCAAAGTTACGGCCCATGACGAGGCGTGTACGGTCAGTGGTACAGCCAGCCAAATGCTTGCGCTCTGTAATGTCAATCTGCTTATCGATTGAACTTGAACATCCAAATAAGCTTGTATTAAATGCTACGGGTTGAGTCATGATTATAGGATATATACAAAAGGTCAGGTCATGTGTTATTTGCCGAGCTCGCTGATTGGGGGTAAAACGACCTCATATATGGTGAAGCTTTTGGACGTATTAGTACGTGCAGACCATGTGTTGGTTTTGTTCATGTTTGATGGAGTGGCCACAAGAAGCATGCCTTGATTTGGTCCATTTGTTGTGCTGCTCAGTGTTTCATGGCATCGGAAAACGTAGACGATGTTCGGATAAAATTGGCTGTAGTCAGTGGTCCCTCACTAAACTTCCCGCAAAACCTAGGGACTCGACAAAGCTTCCCGTTCTCCAGGGCAAAACAGACATATTGAGCTTGGCTCATACATCTCCTCTGATACTGGCCGTGGTTGAACTGATCCACTGATCCGTGTCCGCAAAAAATGACTCTATCACAACGTCTGTTGCGTGCAGGTTTGACATCAAGAGGTGCCAAAACCTACTGAATGGAGGGTTGGACGAGCCTCGTCCAGGCAGTTCTGCAAACGACTTGGGGACAACCTAGGCTCTCAATTTATGTGGGGTTTATCGAACACGCTTGATGCATTGGCTTACATACTTCCCAGACCTTACAAATGACCCATACCTGTTGCATGATCTCATCCCCCAGCAAGTTTGGGATGAGGCAACTAGGTAACAAGGGACAATTCTGTCAATTGTCATGTTTTGTGGCTGGATTGGCTGGTTTACTTGCAATACTTAGGTCATCCGTACCCTTTGCTCAGTTGCCAGGCAAAGGTGCCGGCGCCAAAGCCAGCACCAAAAGCCAAAGTCAAGACTCGACTGCCTGAGGAGCCACCCGTGGTCAACTCGCATGCGCATATATATATATATATATACTTCAGGGGTCTCCATATTTCCCATGTGCGTTGCGCTTAAACATCACCTTGGGGGCCAGTTTTGAGTGAGTCTCCTTTTGGCGGGGAGATGTTTAGAGGGCAAAACATGGGAGCCCTGATTCCATGGGTTCAGCCATTACGCGAATCCATCAGCCATCGCTACGTTTAGTCCAAGCATGCCGATTGAGCAGGAGTCCGTTTGCTCAGGTTTGCCATTGGCCATCTAGCCGTTTTCTCAGGCCATCGGAGGTCTGGTCCCCCTCCTTCAGGCTTGCAGCCTCGGACATGCTGCAAAAGGTTGCCACTGCGGGAACAGCATGTTATGCATGTGCAGCATGTCCACATATGTCCGCATGCGCTCCATAGTATTGCACCCTTTCCAAGAACGCTTAAACTGTCAAGAAAGCAGCCATCAGATTCGATTCTTCAGTGTTGCTGTTGAGGGGAGAAGGTTCAACATTTGAGGGGTGCAGGCAGTGTTGCTGATTCATTGCGACATCACCAGGCTGGGAATTAATCGCCCAAACACAAAGGTGTCCCTCCAGGAGATCATCATTCCACGGTGCGCACTCTCGAAATCACCCAGATTCAAAGTGCCTTTTTGGATTTGTTGGAGGTGAGTGAAACAACACATCCCAACATGCTTTTGATTGGATTGATTGAATCTATTGGAGGTTGCGCTTGAGTCATGGATTGGGAGAAATGGGATCCAACGCTGAACCAGCCATCCCCCGCAGCGATTTTGTCGCGCGTCGACCGTTTTGCAGGAGCTGGGTTTCAGTGTGGGCTCCGGGGTGCGACGCAAGGCTACGGCGCAAGCTAAGAGAAGGGGGGGTTGAGAAAGAGAAGGCAAGACACGGAACATCCCAAAACACAAAGGACGGGCTGCCAAGAGTAGGGGCCATATTTTGACAGCCCCACACATCCATGCGCTTTCGGAATGACCAAGTTGTTGTTTTCCAGCTCCTTGAAGATAAACCGAGGACTTGAAGCTATGCCCATGGTTGATTCCATGAGAACTCGTTCGAAGACATGCGAGAGCAGAATAGTGCGGCTGGGCATCAAACCTCACATCGCTTTTGATTGCACATGGGTATGGGTCAAAATATATCAGGGGACCGCAGGTTTTAGTCCATGTTTCCGTTTACCAGGGTTCCATTTTGGGTACATAGTTTTGACCCACAGCCACATGATGCCAGGAGCTCTTTGTACATGTGAGAAGTCGATGGGTTCTGTCTGGATCCGTTGCATGGTCTTTGGTGTGCCCTTGGCCCCGTTGACCTTTTGGAAACAAAGAGGTTTGCCATTGAACTTGCGAAAGGTTAGACATTTGGCTCAGAAGGAAGAGCGAGTCAGATTGAAGAAAACATTTTCAGGAGTTCTCAAACTCACTTTGGGGGTGGGAAACCCCTTCAGAGAACCAGGGAGGGATCTTTTTGAGGATGGAAATGATGGAAGCATCTTCGTCCGGGAAGGCACCGTAGGTTGTCCTTTTCTGAGTCTGTTTTTGTGTGTGTGTGTATGTCACGCTTTAGCCTATTCTTTTGGCTTGCAATATCATGAATCCGGAATGCAACTGACGAGTGCATTCCATGATTTCCTTTTGTACCTCCGGCAACATGAGCCAGCCACGAATCCCAGAAGCTTCCCACGTCTCGGTTGGCCATAGCCAGATTCGCGCGTACGTGTTCGCCATGGGCTCAATTAGATTAAATTAGCAGCACAGGAAACAGACCGTCGGTGCGAAAGCTCAGCTGAACCCATCCAGGTTTGGGGGTTCCTTTCACACCCAATTTGGTTTGGGTGTCTTTGAACCCAGAACTCATTGTCAGAGACAGCTGCCGAGCTGGAGAGTAAGAATTGGGAATGTCCGACTTGGCAGCCCCGTTGGAGTGTGTTTTCAAAGGAGACCAAAACGAAAGCGCAAGGGGGGCCAGCCTTGTGGGCAGACCCCAGTTTTGCCACAAACCTACAAACACACGCACACACACACACAACACGTAAAGACGCCCACATAAGCGCAGGCACCCGCACACGCACGCACACACACACACACACACACACACAACACGTAAAGACGCCCACATAAGCGCAGGCACCCGCACACACACGCACGCACACACACACACACACACACACTCATACACCCACACCAGCACACAAGCGCGCTCACACGTTTCACCTTTGGCATGGCAAGTAGGGACGCGCCATGGAGGCGGATCGGACGTGAAGAGGAGGGTGGATTTGCCTAATCATGGGCACATACTGACCATTCGAGGGTATCCATTGTTCTCGACAACCGCCTCGGTTCAAAACACTTTTGCAGATTCATTGGCACCCTCGGATAATGACGCTTGACATTGGTGTCCACCGATAGCAAGACGGATTTGGGGGGTGCAAAGCAAACCAAGCAAAAAGCAACCCTGCAATGAAGTTCTCGGAAGCTTCTTGAACGTCTTCTGAGAACCTTTCCGCGGAAGACCATTACGGTCAGATTTTGACTCTCCATAATCCCCTGGCCCATCCTCGCCAAGGTCAAAAAAGACCGCGCCTACCAGGCCGTCTGCCGGAATCAATTCATGGCCAATGGAAGCGGAACATATTGAATATGTCCAGTACTCTGCAAGTCAACAACCAGGACGCAAGCCAACCATACAAGGTCATCTTCCCACAAGGCAACAACAAATGCGGAAGACCTTCGTAATCCGAGGAGTCAAGAAACGAGCAACGTGCGCGATATGCACGCAACGACAAGTTGATTCTGAATGCTCGCTGCTCTTTGCGGTTTTTGAGCAAGGGACAGTTTTAGCTGGTTGGTTCCATCGCAGTGCTTTTTTGTGACTTCCTGGGCATCCACCGTATTTCGGAGCCGCCGGTTTGACTTGCGGTTCATTTCGGCTTGTTTTCCAGGAGCCCCAGCTGCCTTACAGCAGTCCATATCCAGTGCTGCCATCATGTCCCGGTCCCAGATCTGAAATTTACTTTGCATCTTGTAGCCTGGGGATGAGTTTTGTGAAGGGGGATCCGGGCTGCAGAGATTTTACGAAGCATCAGAGGTTTGGGCAGAAGTCGGTAGCTGTCCACACTGTATGAGGCCGAGGCTCGAGGAGTCAGAGGTAGTACAGTGCATTTGACCTGTTCCAGTGACGAATGCGTATAGGATGTGTTTTTTTGCATTCCGTGAATTGCTATGTACCGGCGACCGGTCAGCTCCGGATGGGAATGATCCTCCTCTAACTCGAATCATGAAGCCGCAAGCACTCCTAGACACACAGCGCCGGATGAAAGCGGCACAGGTTGTGCACGTGCAAGCGTGTTGTTCCGTAAATGAACCAAGCCTAGTTGTTTTTTTGTGTGTGTCTAAGCGACGCATGTGTCTTACGCTTGCCATGGTCCCAAAATTGAGGTTGGACAATGACTCCTATTCTTTTCTCCAGAAGGATCCAAGTGAGTGACAAGCGGGGAGTTCATGGAGAGTGAACCCGCTTAATATCATTCCCTGCCTCCCGTCCTGAGGCAAGCGCTGCGAATGCTGCTCATGTGCTTGCGCTCGGATCAGTTGGCTTGGGTTAGATTGAATTCTTGCCTGGGTTTGTCATGTCGCAGAGGGCCGTTTATTTCGATGATACACCGATTTACAGGGCCCGTAGCACTTCCAGATGTTTGCTTTAGGTTGGAGATGGTGAAATGGCCCACTATCCTCTCTCAACTAACCTAGAGATTTGCAGGAATCCCAGCCAAATACGACGAAACAGGTGGCGAATTCTTTTGGTGTCCTTGTTGTCCCAGTATTTCTTGCACTTTGGTGCCAGGGACTTTGGAGCAGGATGTTGAAGCCAATATTCATCCTGCTCCAGCATCGTTATACAGTCATAGTTATACAGTTGTACTGCCAACTCCTGTGAAGTACGAGGAGTTCATAGTTCAGTTCTACTTCACTTACCGGCGAGTGCTTTTGCTGAGGCGGGTTGTGGGCGATCGCCCACCAGATGCAGCGAGGCGGAAATGCGGACCGCAGCAACCATGCGTTGCTGTATGTTTTGTTGTTTTGTTGCTTTGCTGTGTTTGCGTTATTTGTTATTATTGTGTGGCCTTGTTTTCATTGGTGTGTCGTGTGTTGCTTCCGTGTTTTGCCGGTTGTGTGCGTGTTTTTCTTTGTGGTGTGGTTTTGTGTGTTTGTGTTTTGTTCTCTGGGAAGCAATCAGGCCTACATGAGTGGTCTCAGCTGTTTCAAGGCTTCGCAGGGCAGTATGATAAAATAACATTGCTTGCAAGCGTGGAGCGTTCCCTTGGCCTTTGAAAGTCGTTTGATCCGGAGGCCTTGTGCAGCTTGGGACTTTTTGCCGACTCCACAAAGAATCAAGGGGGTGGGTGTGTCTTTTAGGCAATCCCGCAAACTGGTGGTTCTCCTTGTCAAGTGGCTTCCCTTCAAAGCCACGAAAAAAGTTGTACCCTCAATAAAAGACACCCGGGTGTCCTTTGACTGCTTGGGTTGGAACTCGACTATATGAAAATCCCGACCCGCCCTTCACAAAGATGTCGGGGAGCTAATGGCTTCTCAAAAGCAAGCACATGTCCAGAGACTCAAACAGTAAAACACACCGGGAGTTGGACATGCATGGTTGGAAGGGGTTTGTTGATCATGCACTGAAATGGTCTGAGTAGGAATAGAATTGTGGAGTGGTTTGGAACTAGATTTGGTCATCATCATCATAGGATGTTGTCGCTTGTGATAAAATAACGTACTACCAAAAGTCAACATTTGTAATGCCAGTTGCAGGATGAAACAGTACGAGCGTGTTGTTTTTGAAGCCAAATGCAGAATGACTGTGTCGCATATCATAAACGTCCAGGTGGGTGCCAGACAGAACATCCCTGCAATTCAACCTGTTTGGTCAGCTTGAGCATGCAGCGCTCTGCAATGGCTATGTTTTCTTAGTCCGGTGGGATTACTGAACCCACTCTGCTGTTTAGATGACCTGCCATTGTGTAGGTAAAGTATGCTGGGCAACCCAAGTTCGACTTGCCGGAAGCTCCTGATTCTGCACCTTTTTGTCACCCTGTCAAACTCGTCTTCTCTTGGTTTCCCGTTGGTGTTGCCTTTAACCTTCAACCTTTTTGGAAGCTGACTACTTCTCCGCTAGGCAAGACATCCTGTCATGGGCGTACCTATTCCATATCTTTGATCTCTCTCAAGTGGGACCGCAGTTGCATCTCCAACCCAGTGTTGCTTTTCAAGGGAAGAAAGAGTTGCCCTGCAATTGTCCGAATCCGAGTCCATGCCATACTTGCAACTCACCGCTAGCAATGGGCAAATGAAACCGTAAACAGTCCGCCTTCCCCTTGGAACAGGCGCACAATGGCGTTGACATCCTGTTGTTTCGCTTGGCAGGTGATTTGCTGCAACGCGGACAAGATGCAACGCGTGCCTCGGTTTCTTTCCACATGGTGAGCCCCCCCCCAAAAAAAAAGGCGAGCATAATATATACATATATAAAGATTGCCTTTTGGTTTGCCTTTTGGTTTGCCTTTTGGTTTGCCCTTTGGTTCCCTTTGTGTTTCCTTCCGTTTTCTTTGCAGACAGCGAAAGGGGCGCCAAGCCTCAGAAAGCAGGCACATCCATCTCGAGCCAAGTTTCTGTGTGGGGACAGATAGCAAAATTTATGGGTGCTGCTCACATGTTTTGATTTGAATTAGGAAACCGAAAAGGGGTGGATGTTGTTCCCCGATGATCCACACTCCTTGTCCGACACCTGGTTTCGCTGGGCTTTTGTTGCTGTTGCTGCCATTCCAAATTTGTTGGGCCGATAGGCTGGATGCGGGGAACCTTGCCAAAAACCGACCGAAGCAACCTAATTGCGGAGGACACTTTTACAGGATATGCACGGCCAAAGACTTGACCACATCTGAGTCTCTGACCAAGTTTTGTTTGTCAAGCTCGAAGGAGGTCTTACCGCCTGCGAAGGATTCCTCCCCATGAGGGACATGTCTCGCGGGGAAATTTGCCAGAACATGTTCTATGATTCAGAAAACGGCTGGATGCGCGTTTTGTGGTTTCCTCGCACTCTTGCTGCAATCTGTTGGGGTGCATCCACAAGAAGGCTCATCGAAACCGTTCGCTGAATATTACTTATTAATTTTCATGAATCTATGAGCAGAACCCTGAAACATGGTGGACATAATGGGGTTGTCTCTGTGTCTCAAAGTCAGCGGAACCCAAAATTGGTTGGCTTTCTGTGTTTTTTGTTTAAATTGCCAATCGCAAGCTTTCCAAAAAGCCTACAGACACACACACACACAAGGACACCCAAACATCTTGCACATGCCCAGGTGCACAGCAGGTGTCGGTGCCCGCTTTGCTTGACTTGCCAACCCCAAATCGCGCGGACCCCAAGACGGGTCTTCCGACGGGCCCAGGGCTCCCCTTCCACTCGTTGCCTTGAGCTTCGTACCCACAAACAAGGAAGACTAAGAGACACCTCAGTTTCTTCCACATCAATGCTGGACCCTCTTTACACGCCCCCCCCTGGAACAGTGGAGCCAGTCAGCTGGACCCTCTTTAGAGAAAATCCTGGGGGTCTGGGAGGGACAGTGCTTACCTGAGTATTGCCAAGGCTGACTCTCAGACTCTTAGTACTCACTTCAGCATGGCCAATACCGTTTTTTCAGCAACCCCAGAAAAGTTAAGACACTAAAGAGGACCCCAAGACCGTCACATTAAAGAGGATCAGGGCCTCTTGTGGGCAACCTCGTTTGTGCGAATTGTTGCCCTTACTGTTGTGTAAATAAGTTATCTTAAATCTGATGGTTTGGAGGCCGCTAGCAAAATGGACTTCCTAGATCCAAGGCTAAAACTTTAGTTTCAGAATTTCAGCAACCCAAAAACAGTTGGACACCAAAGAGGACTCCAAAACAGTCACATTAAGGAGGATCAGGGCCCCTTGTGGGCAACCCCCTTTGTGTGACTGTTTGCCCGTACTTTTGTGTAAAGAAGCTATCTTAAATTTGATGGTTTGGGGCCCACTTGAAGCAACCAACGTTTGCCCAGCTTTGTTTGCCAGTTGTTTTGCCCGACTTCTTTGCCAAGTTTTTTGTTGCTCAGATTTAGTTCCAGCGTTTCTTCCTGCAAACAAACTTTCCATAGAGGACCCCAAAAACAGCCACAGGATCTTGAATTAGGAAACAACTTTTTACAGTAACAGGTGCTATTCCAATTGAAGGTCTAGCAATATTGAGGAGGAATTGCTTCTTTACAACCTTGTCTGCGATGGAGGGGCGTGGCACGCAGATTCCAGGAAAATATCAGCCGAGCGCGCGGCGTCTGTGGTTCGAAAGCGAGCAACAGAGCTGGTCAAGCGGCGACTCATAGGTGAGCAAGAAGCTTGCAGTGAAACTGGCCGAGCTAAGCTTGGGCTGGACTGGACTGGACATGTCTGGGTGGGTTAAGCTGGGCTCGGACCGGCTAGACTGAGCAAGCAACTAAACCTTAGGCTGGATGCTGCCCCCAGTTGTCTCAGGCGGGATAGGCTGGCCCGGCCTGCAGGGGATATGATTTTGGGACCACCATTCAGGGGCCCTTGGGTGTATGGCGGGGTGTCTTTCGAGTGTGTCGGTTTGTTTCTGAGTTGTTTGTGTGTGTGCTTATGTATCTCTATGTGGGAGTCGTCTGAAAGATCCCTGTATTGAGATGAAGGGGAAGACCTTTTGGTCTTAGCGTTGACCTCCGCGAAAGTTCCGCGAAGCGGGTCGCGCAAGTTTTTTCTCACCAAGTTTAAGATGGCTTGCTAACAGGAAGCTGGAATGATGAACCATGTGTATTTGCCGGCAGTGTGCGCAGAATGCACACCGACTAATGCTGGTCGGGAAATGCGCGGCCTGAGGGTTGCCGCGAGAACACGTCGCTGCAAAAGCAGCCCCCAGCAGAAATCAGCTTGTGGGAGAATTGAAACTTTCGGGTCAAGTTGAGCGCGGCTTTCCCGCCGGATGTTCACGAATGTTTGGCGTGAGTTCCGCAATGGGGTTCGCGAAGGTTATTTTTTGTTCGCGAAGATGGCGGTTTCCGGAGCAACGAAGCTCAGACAACCGTCACGTGCCTCAGGCTGCGCCTTTGTGTCCGTATGTTTCCGTTCATGTGGTTCTGTGTGTACGCGTACCTGTGTGTTTGTGCCCTTGTTAGTCGGAAGCTGTTTGTGTCGTTCATGGTGCATGGGTTTCTGGTGTTTGTGGGTGTTTCTGTGTGTGTGTGTCGGGTGTGTGCGTGTGTGGCGTGAGTGTCTGTGTGTGTCCATGCGATTGCATGTCAGCGCGCCTGTGTGTTTGTCTGTCCGTCCGTGCTACTGTCCATCTGTGTTTGCTTGTTTTGTGAAGTGCGATTAACCCTGGGTATGGTTTTCCTTTTTGTTTTTCTCTGACTCCCGCAAAAAATGCTCGGAGAACACGCATCCATTTGCCAGACTGAAGGTTCACTTTGTGAATGTTCAGAGTGTCTTCACGCCGGGCAAGTTGGTTTCTGAGGCAACCGGGTCAGCATTTTGGAGGCGCGGTCATTTGTCATTGGCCGTTTGGCATTCAGGATGCCTTTGCCCGTGGCTCATTTGCTTGAACTCGATGTGCAAAAGGATGTACGCAGCTCTGGCCAATTGCCAGCTGACAATGTTGAGCAGATCCTAGATGCGCGGTCACTGGGCCTGCAACTTTGGTCAATTGTCTTCATTTTCTCCAAGGTCACACGATGACAATGTATTGGATTCCCTGAGATAGGAGGGGACGTCCGTCGATTTCTGGATTGTCTGCATGAATGGTGAGCTCACCCACGTTGGTCTCTTTGCGGATTCCGAATTTCCGGTTGGTACAAATAGGCACAAGATATGCTCGCCCATGAGGTTGTGCAGTTTTTTTTTTTTTTTTTAAACGTATGGATGTTGCAAGACGCAAGTGGTGCGCATGGAGTATCCTGATAGGGCCATTTGTGGTAACCTAGTGTTGCGTTGGCTCGAGTTCAAGGGATTATTTGATCGACCACAGTGTTACTGTCAGGGAAGTCACTGAGTCCCCTTTAAGAAGCGGTCCTTCCCCATTTGGAATTGTGCCTAATCTATGGCGAAGTCACTTAAAGCAAGCTCATCTATGATGACACGGTTGCATTTGTTTGCAGCTAATTCAGCTAATCAATTGCTTATGTTTGCAGACTTCTGGTTTTTACCGCCAAGCCTTCTTGATTAGCACCACAAGAAGAGCAGTTAGCTCAACCACGTTCTATTATGCGGCTGCGACTTTCAACAGGGATCCCCCTCAAAAGTGCGCGGTGGACACCAATCTAAATTATGTTCACCAAGGAGGCCGCATTCAAATTGTATATTAAATGATATCCAAAAATAATTTGCGCGGTACGTTCAAAAGCCACAAGGCAATGCACGGATTTCTTGTGGGTGTTCCGGGCATACCAATGATAGACGCAGGCCAACCTTGCTGTTAGCGGCTTGGCCCTTACTAAAGAGAAATAATATGAGGGTGGAGAGTGGGCATGCAGCTGACTCGCTGTTGAATTGAGGCCGATAGGGCAAGTGCTGCTACGCAGGCAGTTGCATGTCACTATTGGCACATTGTGCGTTTCGCCGTTTGTTCACTATACGGGTCCGCGTTTGTTTTGACACACTGCAATGGGGTGGTTTGACGCGTGCTTGCTCCAAGTGCACCCCTGGATGTGCCTCAGAGTCGTTCCCAAGAGCTTACATTTGAACCCAAACGTGACCGGATCATGGCGGATAGCATTCGCTTTTGAAAGGTGCCCGAAAATTCCCTGACGTCTCGTACAGGGGCCCGTTGTGATTGACAACAGCGCCGAGTTTGGCGAGGTGTGAGGGGCGGGGCTGAGAAGGTCAAGGGTCTTGAGGAGTGCTTGCGCCTCCATTTTGTCACCTGCAATCTAGATGTTTGTTTCATCCTTCAAAGCAACCTCAAGAAGGGTACCCCGAAACAAACGAACACAAGTGCCGAAAGCAGGTCGGAGCATTGAATGCAAGCTTTACACTGGCAAAGTTCAACATGGTGTAATTAGTAAATATGCTACCTCTCAATGCAGCAGCCTTCTCAAACAAGTGATACGTAATGATTGAATGACCTAATCCGTGTCCTCTTATCACACTCCAATCTGCGCTGTTCTCTCCCCGCCATGAGCAGTGGATGCGTAGCCTCCCCTCTTCGTTAGAAGAAAAGCCGCTGCCAAATCTGGTGCGTTTGGGCGTCTTGGAAAAGCTATTTGGGGACAGAACCAGTGCTATTTTCTCTGAGCGTGCAAAGTCGGCACCTGGCACGCGTGGAAGTTCTGTAGAACTGGAGAAACGATATTGCAATTTGACAGCAAGTTGCTGGGCGACAAAATCAGAGCTCCCAGGATGGCTTTCTTGGCCTTTGCTTCCTCCAGTGGACCAGGCTTTGAGACATTATTTGTTGTGCCCATACAACCGTCCAATTCTTGAAGGTTGTCTTGCAATTTTGTTTGCCAGTTCACCAGTGCAGCCCGGCATTTTTCCATGTGGACCCACAGCTTCATGATCAGCTTTCGAGCGTTTGCCAGTCGTATCACCGTTTTGAACAAGCATACGCCGTGTTTGAATCTGCCCGCGGGTTGGTCCAACCACCCCGGATCAGCGGGTCTCCCCATGGGACGTGCCACTGTCAGGTCACCGAAGACGAAGATTGTCCTGGGGCCCAGCATGTAACCGACTGGCTAAGGTTTGCTTCTGGTTTCGCTTCGGCCCAACCTGAAAAGGGTACCCTCACATTTTTTCAGGGGGAGAGAAGCCGAAAGGCATGTGTTTGCTTTTTCTGGGGGGGGTTCGATATTTGGAGACGAACCGATTTCAAAAGTTAAAGAGTCCCAAAGGCTAGACATTTGAGTTGAAATGTCCTTCGCTTCTCGTTTTGAGGAACCGCAGTGGTTCCCAGTGTACCCTTGCGCCGGGTTTGTTTAAGACACATGGAGCACAGAAAAGCAAGATGCAGCTTGTTTGCCAGGAAGGGACGATGTTGCCTTGAGATGTGCTTCATGCGAAAGCTGCACCACGCATCAAGCGACGTGCTGCTGAGCGGTGCCGACACAAACTGGATGCCCTTGCGCAGCAATCATTCACATATCATCAGATCAACGTCCAACAGAAAAAATCTGAAGTAGGTTTGGTCGGATGCAGACGTACTGCCGACACTTGGCTGCCTGGGATGTCGTAGAGGCATTGATGAAAATCACGAGGGCGCTGACCCACATCCAAAATGGGGCCCTGTTGTGGACTTTGGACCCTGGTAAGGGATGCCAAACTGGTGTTTAGTTTTGGAAACCCTCACCCTCGCACCCTGGCATGTGAGTCTTCCACCTGAGTCGTATCGCCTTCCTTAGGCACGGAGCCATCGTCATCCGAGGAGGAGGAGGACTTGTTGCCGCGTGACGTCCATGCAGTGCACTCTGAGTTGGGGGGTGATTTGGTGAAACTAGCTTGTCTGTAGGTTGATTGGGTTGGGGATTCCTTACTTCCAAGTTCCTGTTTCTGAGCTTAGGATTCTATTATTCCCAGGGGCTAAGCATTGACTCGTGAGATGCACCCGTGCTGAAGCCGCACGTGCAGATGGAGGCAGGTGTTTGTGGATCGCCCGTTTGCCACAAGCAAGATCAAGTCAGCGAGAGTTGTAGCCTTTGGCGCGCTAATCTTACCCAGCCAGGTATCGAATGTTCGTTGGCCTTGGGCTCCGAAAGAATTAAGGGCTTAGGGCTCCCTTTTTGATCAACGGCCTTTGTGGGCACATCCCAGCCGTGTTGCAGCTGAGTTGGTGCGAGGACTTGCAGACAGCGACTCATCCGGCAAAGGCCAGCCATGCCGAAGTTGCGTATCCGTGGTCGCGTGTTTTTTTTTTTGTGTTACCATCTTTCCAACAATCATGGAAGTGGCTAGGCGGCAAGCCGCGAAGCCCCCTTCCTCTGCTTCGGAACTTCAGGCCCAAGCCACAATAAACTTCTTCAATACCGGGTTTGCTTCTTTTTTGAATGTGAGGATCCCAGGCACTTCCAAGTAACTTTCCCTGCTGCCCTTTTGTCCTTTTTATGGAGGGCCAGCCAAAAGAGGGCAGTTCCCAGCCTAGGATTTCGCGTCAGTTTCTATTTAACCCACTACAAGGTTCCCACCCAGCAATTGACATGGAACCTGACAGGGAGAGAAATGCAAATTCGCAGATCAGAACTCGGACAGCCCAGGAAAGGGGCCGCGGGCTCATAGAAATCCACGGAGACCGCTTTGCGCATGCGCCTCGCGATCGCAACCTCCAGGAGATCGAGGAGCGGCGCAGGCACCAGTCCCCGCCCGACTCGACGGCCGATGGATTCGGACGAGAATTCCAACGGGTGCATTGCAACTTTTGAAGGGGAAATCCTTGTTTTTTCCCGGTTGGCATTGGACAATTTTGGGGCCCGGTTGTTTCCTGGTGTGTCCAACCAGATCAATCATTTCTGTTTGTGACTCAGAAGGACGTCTAGTCGAAGCCCATGGAGGGTTGCATCTGGCGAACCTCAGATGCGAGAGTCACATGGGCTGAAACCCTGTTTAGTGCATGGAAGCCAGCGACTTTAGCCAAATTTCTGGTGACTGGAACCTACCCTTCAGGGGTGAAAGGACGTACGGCCTCCACAGGGCACTGATTGGAAACCTCCATTTTGCTCGCTTGCTCGTTGTTTTGTGGTAGAACAGATCACCAATTCCTGCTCATTTGCTTGTTGGGTCCCAATACCAGGCAATTTGAAAGTCTTTATAGGGACTTGTAATCGTGGTACTTTTGCTCCGCATGCAGTTCGCCTGCCACCCCCAAACCCAAACCATGGTAAGTGGGTTCCAACCATGGCCTTTGACCACTCAGGTGCCCATTGCTCCTGCAAGTACGGGAAGAACAACCCTGTTAACCACCATTTGTAAGGGTTTAACAATCAACACAGATGGCTTGTATCCTTCTTATTGTGGCAGGGGTTTCATGGAAACCAGCAGGATACTCTACAAACAATGGCCAAAACCCGGTTAAGAACCAAGAGTTTGGCCGATCTCTTCGACTTCCAGTCCTATCAAAAAAAAACAAACACGCGTTGCAGGCATTCGCAGCAGCCCTGGCAGCAGGAGAATCAGAATCAACGGCTGCGACCTGAGTCCTTTCACCAAACAAGCCACCCTACTTTTATGTATAATATGTATATATATATATATATACACATGTATATGAATATATATATATATATATATATATGTATATATATGTATCATAAATCCCAGTTGGTTTCAAAGGGAGTCTATATATATCACTACTGGACATAGTTGCTCATTTTTTTCAGGGGACTGAAGCAAATGGAACTAATCAAGTCCCCTTTTTGGCCAACAAGTTGTCAAGTTGGCATTTTCGATTGGTTGGATATTTGGAGAGGTGATAAATACAGAAGTGAAATAGGGAAGTACGTACCCCTCATACAAGTGCTCGCGATTTCCTGCCGCCCAACGACTCTGTTGGTTTCCACAACCTCGACAAAGGCGTGTGGGTGTGACTCAAAACTAAGCAGCTGGGGCTACGCAGGCTTTAGTCTTAGGTTCCATATGCCAAAGTGCCATGTGGGGTCCATTTCTTGAGCCACAACCATGGGAGTTTTCTGTGCCATCTACAAACAAGTCACACTTTGTTTTGTGGAGAGGGCGGGGAGCTTTTTTTTGTTTATATCAAGCAGATACAGGGGGGAAGCCTTTCCTTTCCCATGGAATTCCACCGGAGCTCTTGTTATTTCTAGGTACATCAAAGTGACATCTTTAACATTACCCTCTAAATGGTCAACTTCCCAAAGTTGCTCTATTAGAACGTTACCCTCTTCAAGGTGCCGTCTAGACTCCCCCTCTACAGTCAAGGTTATGTACACTCCAAGCGGTTTTAAGGGACACTTCACCCGAAGTGATTTTGCTGCCCAAAGCAAGCGGCGACTTTATGTCAGGTAACCCAGGTAACCCTTAGTTGGAAATGCTTTGGAGTGGTAGTCTGGGATTTGAAGCCCCACACCCAAACCCTCCGAAGGGCTCCAAACCACTCATTGCGGGGAAGCTGAATCCACGGGGCTCCTGGCGCTTCACGCGCTTGACGCGCTTCGCCTCATCCGAGGCACGGCACTGCGCCCGGCACTCCGCAGCAAGTGCCGCAGACTGTTTCGCGGCAGCAGGCGCTGGGCCTGAGAATTCCATGGGCCAAACCATCGAAAACAGTCCTCGGGCGTGGGGTTTGTTGCGTATGGCCGCCTGGTCAGGATCCTTCACCACAAGGATTCCTGTGGAGGGAACCAAAGTCACATACCGTTTGAAGGGAAAACAATGGGAACGCCGAAGCTAGTTTGGGGAGGTTCTTGTGTTGAGGCAAACTTGACAATCTCTTTCGAGGGTGCTTTTTGGGAGGTTGGTCTTAAGGGAAATCCGAAGACACCGCCCGTTTCGGGGGGGTCCCCTATTTTGAGACTTTCCAATTTGACGCGTGTTGGAGCCACCATATTCTGTTCACCTTCTGGAAGCTGCTTGATTCGTCCACTTTGTTTTGTTTTCGGCTGCTATCCTCTTCTGTTTGCCATCATGCACCACGTTAGCCACGGCTATCCATTGCGGCACTCGCCCCGGAGGTCGCGTAGCTTGTATTATTGACCTGTGAATGTTGCAAGAAGCGATGTCATGAAGTATCCTGATTGGTCCATTTAGGGTAACCAAGTGTTGCGTTGGCTCGGGTTCAACGGATTAATTGATCGACCAAAGTGTTGCTGTCAGAGAAGTCACTAAGTCCCCTTTGAGAAGCTTTGACATCTATCAATCCTTCCCCATTTGAGGAATTTCGCCTACGAACTCACTTCAAGCAAGTTCATCCATGACACCTTTGTATTTGTTGCAACTAATTTAGCTTATCAATGGCAGATGTTTGGAAAAACTTATGTTTTTCACCGCGCCCCTTTGAAGAGCACCACAAGAAGAGACTGATTTTCATGAACTCGACCGTTCTATGCGGCGACTTTCAAGAGGCCCCAAAGAAGTGGTCTGGTGGACACCAATCTCCAACTAAATTCTGTTCACCAAGGAGGCCCCACTCAAGTTATATATATATACATATGATATCCAACAAATTGCGCACGTTCAAAAGCCACAAGTTGCAATGCAGGGATTTCTGGTGGGTGTTCCGGGCATACCAATGATAGACGCGGCCAACCTTGCTGTTAGCGGCTTGGCCCTCACTAAAGAGAAATAATATAAGGGTGGAGAGTGGGCATGCAGCTGACTCGCTGTTGAATTGAGGCCGATAGGGCAAGTGCTGCTACGCAGGCAGATGAATGTCTCTATTGGCACATTGTGCGTTTCGCCGTTTGTTCACTATACGGGTCTCCGTTTGTTTTGACACACTGCAATGGGGTGGTTTGACGCGTGCTTGCTCCAAGTGCACCCCTGGATGTGCCTCAGAGTCGTGCCCAAGAGCTTACATTTGCACCCAAACGTGTCCGGATCATGGCGGATAGCATTCGCTTTTGAAAGGTGCCCGAAAATTCCCTGGCGTCTCGTACAGGCGCTCATTGTGATCGATAACAGCGCCGAGCTTGGCGAGGTGTGGGCGGGGCTGCGAAGGTCAAGGGTCTTGAGGATGTCCTGTTTTCCACGCGTGCAAGGCGCCAGGGACTGTGCACGCTCCCTTCAGAGGGAACAGCACTGGGTGCGTCCTCAAATCGCTTTTTCCAAGACACACCCAAAGGTTTGGCAGCCGTTTTCTTGTAATAGATATTAGGGGAGGCTACGCATCCACTGCTCATGGCGGGAAGAAGACAGCGTAGATTGGAGTGTCTCTATATAGTGGACACAGATCAGGTCATTCAATCATTATGTATCACTTATTTGAGAATTGAGAAGGCTGCTGCTTCACTCACTTACATCGGACGACCGCCCCCCTCTCGTGGGTGAGGCCAAGTCTGTCTCTGCGCCTTACCGACAGTTGCAGTAGGCCATTACGTGGTGAAGCGCTGGAAGGCGAACAAACGAATCAAAAAAGGGAAAACCTCAACCCCCAAGAAGACAGCAGCAACCCAGAGGTCACACACACCCGTCGCACGTGGGAGACAAGCAATTCAGGTAAAGAACGGCGTGCTGGGGCCCAACCAGTTCACGCACATGTCCCTACATCCGAGCGGTTGTCAAGCGCTGATGCATGGCAATGTGCTCAAGCGACTCAGTGCGTCATGCCGATTCGCGCCAGTTTTGTCCCAGAAATAAGCTGGACTAAGGGCGTGCCTATTCAGAAAGAAGCACTCCCAGCTTCAACAGTAATTTAAGACCAACCTGGAGCCCTCACCCGCATGGCAGCATGGCAGAGTGCAGCTTCATGATCACCTTTCGAGCGTTTGCCAGTTGTATCACTGTTTTGAAAGCTATGCACGAGCATGAGCCGTGTTTGAATCTGCCCGCGGGTTGGTCCAACTACCCCGGATCAGCGGGTCTCCCCATGGGACGTGCCACTGCCAGGTCACCGAAGACGAAGATTGTCCTGGGGCCCAGCATGTAGCCGACTGGCTAGGGTTTGCTTCTGGTTTCGCTTCGGCCCAACCTGAAAGGGTACCCTCAAAAAGGACACGCATTTGGGCGCCTTTTTTCAGGGGGGGGAAGCCGAAAGGCATTTGTTTGCTTTCCCTCGGGGGCGGGGGGGGGGTGATATTTGGAGACGAACCGATTTCGAAAGTTAAAGAGTCCCAAAGGCTAGACAATTGAGTTGAAATGTCCTGTGCTTCTCGTTTTGAGGAACCGCAGTGGTTCCCAGTGTACCCTTGCGCCGGGTTTGTTTAAGAACATGGAGCACAGCATATCAAGATGCACTTTGCCAGGAAGGGACGATGTTGCCTTGAGATGTGCTTCATGCGAAAGCTGCACCACGCATCAAGCGACGAGCTGCTAAGCTGTGACGGGACGTCGTGCATCCCCTTGCGCAGTAATCAAGCACATACATGTTGAAGGGGAATTGATCAAATACACGAGGGCGCTGACCCGAGGGTTGAGCATATGCCACATTGTCCAAAGTGTGGCCCTGTTGTGGACTTTCAACCCTGGTAGGGGATGCCAAACTGGTGATATATTTTTGCAAACCCTCGCCCTCGCACCCTGGCATGCGGGTCTTCCATTCGAGTCGCATCGCCTTCCCTAGGCACGGAGCCATCGTCATCCGAGGAGGAGGAGGAGGAGGAGGAGGAGGAGGAGGAGGAGGAGGACTTGTTGCCGCATGACGTCCATGCAGTGCACTCTGAGTTGGGGGGTGATTTGGTGAAACTAGCTGAACTGTAGGTTGTTGGGGTTGGGGATTCCTTACTTCCAGGTTCCTGTTTTTGAGATGAGGATTCTATTATTCCCAGGGGCTAAGCATTGACTCGTGAGATGCACCCGTGCTGAAGCCGCACGTGCAGATGGAGGCAGGTGTTTGTGGAGCGCTCGTTTGCCACAAGCAAGAGCAAGTCATTGAGAGTTGTAGCCTTTGGCGCGCTAATCTTACCCAGCCAGGCATCGAAGGTTCATTGGCCTTGGGCTCCGAAAGAATTAAGGGCTTAGGGCTCCCTTTTTGATCAACGGCCTTTGTGGGCACATCCCAGCCGTGTTGCAGCTGAGTTGGTGCGAGGACTTGCAGACAGTGACTCGTTTGGCAGAGGCCAGCCATGCTCAAGTTGCGAATCCGTGGTCGCGTTTGGTGTTCTACCATCTTTCCAACAATCATGGAAGTGGATAGGGGGATACCCAAAAGATGAAAATGAAAATAGTCTGTCAGAACCGTCCTCTGAGCTTTCATGATTGTTGGAGGGTGGGTATTAACATTAGTACTTTAAAGGCCATATTAGTTAACGTTATTTTTGGGTTTTGATAACTATCCATCCAGAGAGCTGCTTCGTACGATTGCTCGTTGGTGGAGTTGCAATTTAAAGCTGATAAAGGCGACGCATGCTGAATGCATAGGTGTTTTCCGTGGATTGGGTTGTTGTGCAAGGAGTGTAACATAAGCAGCAGTCAACATGTACCGTCATCTACAGTAATGGTGGAACTTGATTAATAAACCCGCCCCCCCCCCCCCCTCAAGGTTGACAAGGTTTGGGAAAATCAGATTTTGGGGGGTTCTCGTGGCGCCTCCCCCTAATAATTGATCTGCAGGACTTGAAGTTTGAGAAGCTTGAGGATTGAGGTTTGGAGGCTTGAGGTTTCTGATCAGCTGCCAGGCTCCTGCAACTTGCTGTTTTAGAAGACAAACTTTTCAGAAAAAGGGACCCTTGGCCAAATTCAAATGGAATCTTCTGGTAGTATCTGTTGAGTAGTAGCCCTTTAGGTTTCCAATTGCTGGGGCCAGGTTGTGGCTTTTGAGGAGGGGCAGGGACCCCCTTGATTAATCAGGGGGGGTTTCACTTATTAGGGGGGGTCAGGCCTTGAAGGGGGGTACCCTTTGTGGCCTTGGCAAACCTGCATTTCTTAAACAGGATGTAGTAAAGAAATTTGCTGTTTGGGAATGCAAACTTTTCAGAAAAAGGAACCCTTGGCCTAATTCAAACATAATTCTTCAGACAGGCTGAGTCATGAGGAAACGGATGCTGCTGCTGTCTGCTGCTTCAGGTTTTTTTTCTGGGAGATTGGGGGACGTCTTTAATCAGGGGGGTTTTGGCCCCCAAAAATTAAGGGGTGGTTTTTGGCCAAACCTTGTGGGTGCCTTTAAAGTAGTATTGCCTGGAAATGGTCTGGGGAAACTGGACGTCTTTAATCAGGGCGGGTTTATTAATCATGTTCCACCATTAAGGGAATGACATTGACAATACTATTGGTAGTCTATGTGTGTTTGATTGTCTGTTTGCTTGTTTGTTTGTTTGCTTGTTTGTTTGTTTGTTTGTTCTGGTATTTTTCGGAAGGGGGGGAGGGGCGGGACATGGCGGGGAACCCCCAAATTCCCCAAAAGTAGGGGGGTCGCGTTTTATCACGTCGGCGGGAACATGTCAGTTGACGCAACAAATCTTGACTGTGGATCACCTTTTTCCCCAAGGCGCCCATGAAGCCTTCCAACAAGCTCGCGTTGGAGGCCGGCACGGGTGAGCTGGAGCTTTCCTCGGGTAAAAAAGCAACTTTTGTCTTGAAAGAGACCGCGAAAGCCCTTAATTTTGCCGAGGCAACCAATCGGCACTCGCCCCTCCCCGAGGGGGCAACCTTGCACTTGCAGGTTTAGAACTTGCGCAGAGACACCTGCGCAAAGAAATTGCACAGAAAGACAGCTTATTCTGTGCAAACAACCGCGGCTAATTTGCGGTGCGGACATAACCTTGCCAACGACAGAGTAAGTTGTGTTTTTGGCCACCTCCCTTCTAGTTGCTTTGTGCAAGGAGCGCCGATTTTTCCTTGTGTGGGTCGAGTCTCTATGAATCCCAAAGGCTTCTAGCATATCTACAAGTTGATGCACGTTTGCTTGGATTTGTTATGCTTGGAACCGTGCAATGGAATTGCTCGCCGTCCAAAACTAGATGAAATGGACATGCTGGACTGCAAGACTACATATCTCTGCTTATGTCTGTTGCAAGCATAGTTTAAGCGCTACAGCTTGTCTGCTCAAATCAAGCAAAACGAAGGCACCAATAGCAGTATGTACATACATACATACATACATACATACATACATACATACATACATACATACATACATACATACATACATACATACATACATACATACATACATACATACATACATACATACATACATACATACATACATACATACATACATACATACATACATACATACATACATACATACATACATACATACATACATACATACATACATACATACATACATACATACATACATACATACATACATACATACATACATACATACATACATACATACATACATACATACATACATACATAATATATATATATATACATATTTCAACGTGTTTTGTGGGGTGTGTAACTATATATATATATATATTGGGTTTCTATTCTGGTGTAGAACACACAACACAATATGTATGTGTATATGAGGGGGTTGCCCTCTATACGCAGGCGAATCCATCCTCACCGTCGAGCCCAAGAGGCCTGGATGAGACCTTAGGCGGGGGGGGCCTCCAAATTCGGAAAGAAACGTGTTGTCTCTAGGGACGATTTGATTTGGACCGCCCAAAATGATGATTTTCCGTTTGGTCTCCCTGCAAACCAACCCAAAAAGGGATACCATCGAAAAGCACACTCACCTAGTGATTGGGAAGGCCTTCCAGCGGTACAGCGGGCAATTCCTACAAGACTTTGAGGGACTTGTAGTGGGAAGCAACCAGTTGGGGGGTTCTTTGCCAATCTCAGGAAGTGAAGCATTACATAGACTCGCGTCTCAGAATGGGCGACCCTCCCGCCCCCAAATGGTGATTTTCCTTTTCCATTAAAGAAACGTTTCGCCTCTGCATTTGAGAAGTTGCGAACGTATTAAACGATACGCCAACAAAACCACCAACGAACCCAACAAGCAAGTAAGCCAAAGAACCAAGCAAAACACATCACAGCACAACACAACACAGAACAAGAGCCAAAGCTACTGGGTTGTGCTGGAAGCAAGCTGCATGACGAACACGGGTTTGGCTACAAAATGCTCACCAGGAAAGTACCAACATCCATTTGCGCAGGAAGTTTCTTGCTCAGACTTGTGGTTTTGGACCATGGGCTATGTAGGGTGTCATCTCCAAGGACAAATGGTATTTCAAGTCTATTGCATAAGCAATATGCAGCCACTAGGGTAAATTTCAGCTCAAAGGTGGAGGATTGGACACCTTGAATCGGGTGTCATTCAACTGTGTGACACAGACACACAGAGTCAAAGCATGGTCCATGATTCAAAATGTGTTGGTGTTCAGCCACGAGATGTTCAAGCAGCGCATAGGCAAATGCCACATCCGGCCCTATTGTTGCTTCGGTCTGGAGAGCAGCTTTGGCGAAGGGTCAGATACTCAAATGCCGTCCCCCTATGACTCTGACTCCAATAGGATCAGATATATTGATCGCGCAGTCCAGCTGCTTTGTTGCGTTGCTTCACGGGTACGTTGAAGTTGGCGACCGAACCAGCATTTGCGGGTCAGCAGCACAAGGCATTTGCGGTAGGCGAGTCAGAAAGAAGACCAGAGTCTGGACCAATGAGTTTGATTGTATTGTTTTCACACACATGAGTTCAACCCCCATGAAGGGAATGGCAAGGACGAAATTTGGATGATGACAATCCTTAAATAATGGTGGTTATATGAACCCCCTTTTTAGCGGTGGTTTGAACCCCAGGGCACACATCTTACCTTTAGCAGCCCTGGTTGGGTCGGGGTTTGGGGACAGTGAAGGGTTTCCGGGCTCAGATTAAAGATGCATCGAGTGGCACGCAACTGCTCATGTAAATTCTGTATGCCAATCACACACCTTGACGCCTTGAACTACAGTGCGTCAGCTTTCAGATTCGCGTCACACAAATGCATCTGAGAAACTATGAGATGCACCTGGCCAACCGGCTTGAAAGCGTTTTGTCTGCTTCAACGCTTGGTTTGGTGGCTTGCTGGCAACGGCTAGGATCATTGCAAAGGGGCACCCTTCAAGACCAGCCCCAAATTTCGGTAACTCAAAGGACACGCATCCAGCCCAGCTATCCAGGTGCCAGCGCAGGCGACACGCAGGCGGAGGCGCCCAGCGAGTCGAAGGCGATGCCGGCGCCGGAGGCAACGTGAGGGGAACTCACTCGCTGACTTGGACTTGAGAAAAGCAGATAGTGTGTCCAATGTTCCGGCGGGGAACAGTATCTTCCAGCTGCATGCTTGGGCCAAGGCAGAAGTCGAGTCGAGGCTGATTGCCTTGCAAAATCTTGGTGGTTCCCCCCTTTTTTGTTTTTGGCTTTTAAGGTTCAGTGGTAGTTGGATTAAAAGTTATATTTTTAGCAGGGGATTTAAGGACGGCTTCCACAGAAAGCAACATAATCTTTTGGGAGGACCATTTCAGCGAAACGAAAATCTGGACAATTGTCTTGCGGGTGCGATAGGCAGGTAATGAGGGCATGACCCCTATAAACCATCCCTGTGGTTTGCTTTCAGAGAGCCCCAAGGTTCATTCCCAACATCTTGGGTCATCGCCTACTGAGTGCAAGCATTTTTTTGCCCGTAGGAAGTAAGGCGACCAAAAGGACTTGGTTTGCGTGGTGTCGACTATGGTAACAAGGCCTTGTCCAAACCTGAAAACCCTGGGCCTTGGTTTCCACGGTGAACAATGTTGGCATCCCATTTCAGAGATGGTTGTTCTGTCGCTGTTTGCCTTTTGGGATTTTGTTTCCATCTGCTTGAGATCACCGTGTGGATCTTCTCTTGTTGGCCCGTTTGGGAGGCGGTTTCTTGAAATCCACGCATATTCGGGGCAGATGGCCAGATAGGACCTGCGCCCAAAGTTGCTGCGGGCTGGGTGCTAAATAGCCCATTTGACTTTCCCAAGAAGGGAGTCGCGGGGTGTACCTAGCAAGTCAATGGAAAATGTCTGAACCTAGGTTATGCTACTTCTGCATGGTGGAACATGCAGGACAACATCACACATTGGCATCAAAGAGCAAGGTCGAACCCACCGGTACTCAGACGGGGAGTAGATCAAAGGTGAGCGAATAAATGGCCATTGAGAGCCATTAAGAGGACTGCAGGAAGGGAGTAAGGGGTGTCAAAAGTAGACCATGGGGAAATCGCTGATTTGGAGGGTCCAAGTTCTGACACGCACCCATGCACACCACGCGCACGCACACACACACAGAGAGAGAGAGACACACACACACACACACACACACGATATGCCAAAGTCTCAGGGTTCTGGGACATTTGCTTTAGTATAACTTATACAGTAGTCATAGAAATCAAAAGCGCTTGGCTGTCACAGAAGGGTTGGTTTCCCGCAGATGTGGAGTTTAGCTGATTAGTGATAGCGCTGCGGAGCGTGGAGTTCAAGGCCGAAGAGGATCGGGACGCATCAGACACCTTGCCGACAAGTACCTTTTCTGGGTACAGAACAAGGCGCGTGCTCAGGAAGTAAGTCTGGGGACACGCTTCAACCCAGCGACAAGGCCCAGACAAGCAGCCAGCCCGGAGGGGCAAAAACGTGCCGCAAGCCGGAAAGCGCTGCCCGGCCAAAAGCGCCGTCGGCCAAGGCAAAGGCTCCGATGCCGCCAACCCCACCGCCTGTGTACCCATGGCAGATCTGCGAGAACTGGCAAGGCTTTTACACATGCGCAGATGCATGTGTGTACCTCACTTCCTGAGTTCCTGGACTTTAAAACCTTTGGGACGACCATTTTGGTGGTAAATGCAAAGTTCAGACTTTTGTTGCCAGTCCACTCAGAAAGTGAGGTACTGTGTCCTTGATCTCAAAGCAGGGTTTGCAGTCATTGGTCACGCACATGTGTTTGAACCATCGCTGGACGCAGAGGAAGCTCTTCGCAGAGAATCAAGCAGGCAAAGCTCTTGAGCCACAACTTGCCTGTGAAAGGATGCCATCCAAGCCCTCCGGTACGCTCTACCAACAAGAATCGCGGTTAGGAATGTAGCAAGTTCGCCCAAGGCCAATGCTCTGATGGCTTGTTTGAAGCCGCGCCAGCCAAGAAGGGTGTTACTTTGAGTTGAGGCACTCCAATCATGGGTTTGTTTTCATTTTGGTTTGCTTTGTAAAGGCCAACCAAAAGGAGGCTTGCCATCCCATGTTGGTATGTCACGGTTACAAGCACAGAAGCCATCAAAGGAGATAGACCAACTTTTTGAGACATGAAGGCCCGCAAAAGCTGGTAAGCTCAGCCATTCTGAAACGCAAAGACCTACCACCTAGCAGAAGGATAAGCACCTCCCATTTGCGCCAAAGCGGGTAACCGGGTAACCCACCCATCTTGAGCCACAACCCATCGGAAGGGAAGAACCAACCCAGGGAGTAACCAGCCGTTGAGAAGTGACATGGCCCATGGCCGGTGAAATCCAGAAAGCCGCCCCACAACGCGCCTGCTTCAGGCCCCGGTCTACCGGCCTGACTCCGAGCCTAGGTGGGGAGTTTGTTCGATCGGCTCCCAAAGATCGCCAGACCTGTGGGGCGCTTCGTTTCACTTGTTAGGGGAGGGGGGTTCCCCAAAGTGTTCTTCTATTTTTGGAGGGGGTTCCTTTTCAAAGTCAACTACCAAAGAAGAGTGCCATTTTTTGTTCATGGAAATCTAGTGTGGTTTGGGGGGCCATTTGACAAACCATGGCAGTATCCCGGCGCTACAAAGATTTGGCTATCGGCTTTGTGGGCAGCAAATTCACCCGCTTACTCGGCGCGAAAGAACCTGAAAGCAAGCAGTTGCAGGAGTGTTGCAGGCAGCAACGTTGGGTTTGTGTTTCTCCTGGGGTACCTGTTTTTGTGGTTGTGTCAAGGAAACCAAGAGGAACCCCCCATTTAGTGGGGTCACCAATTTAGGGACAAACCCATTTGAGCAACTTGCTCAAGCCAGGAAATCATTCGCGACTGCACCCCCATGGACCTCCGGACATACCCCCAAGTTAGTAAGTGGTTCGCCACTTGGATAAATGTCTTCACCCGAGTAACAAGCTTGAGCCCACGGAACGGGTGACTTGTAAGTGGCTTCGAACCGCACGACTTACCAACAGCCTGCTTGGCGAAGCGCCAGGGAGCCTTCGAGTTCCCCGAAGGCGAGGCTTCGATCGTGACCGAAGCCGCGCGAGCGGTTTGGGCGGCAAAGTGAAGCTCACGTGGAGCACCATCCCACATGGTTGGACACAAATTTGCCAGGTGATACCCGCCGGGGTCAGCAACAATTCATCTTTGGATAGGTTTTGGGAGTTGGTTTCTTCCTAGATTTTGGCGGGCAGTTGTAAAGAACGTGTTGCCGAGAAACCATGGGTCCTGCCTTCAATATCCCCCATTGCCAGACGCATTCACGGGAAGGTAAAGAAAGTGGGCACCTTCCCCGGCATATATAATTGTCCCTTGGAACCACTCCAGCGCTGTCAATTTCCTTTGGAACGTGTGGGGGGCCTGTCCCTATTTGCCCATGGACCCAAAGTCACAGATGGACCCCTTTTAAGCCTAAATCATATTTGCGGGACCTCACGTTCCCCTGTCCAACTGAGGCAAGTTATTTTGTTTGTGGCTCACATGTGACATGGGCTGCGCCTGTCCCGGGATCCTAGGCTAGAAATCAACACCCCAATCGCGTTTGTTGTTCATTTGCATTCAAAGCTCCCCAAAACGGGCATCCACAAACAAAACACCCCCATTCAGCAGGATCGCCCTTTTCTGAACTGAATCTGGTCAACGTTTTTTGGTATCTTACATCTTTGCCCCGGACGAAAATGATGATAACATAGAATATGTACATCCTAGGTTTGGCGGTGAATGTCGAAGACGACGATAGGAACGATTGAAACTCTTGAGCGTGTAGAAGGCGAAGCGAGTGACTGGGAGGCCGGCAGCTTTTGTGAGTATCAATTGGAGGGCAAGTCTGGTGCCAGCAGCAGCGGTAATTCCAGCTCCAATAGCGTATATTAAAGTTGTTGCGGTTGAAAAGCTCGTAGTTGGATTTCTGTTGGGGTGACCGGCTTCTGGGTGTGCATCTGGTTCAGCCTTGACATCTTCCTGAAGAACGTGTCTGCACTTCGCTGTGTGGCGCGGCATTTAGGACTTTTACCTTGAGGAAATTAGAGTGTTTCAAGCACGCGCACGCCTTGAATACATTAGCATGGCAAATGCTTTCGCAGTAGTGAGTCTTTAACAAATCCAAGAATTTCACCTCTGACAGTTAAATACGAATGCCCCCAACTATCCCTATCGATCATTACCTCAGCTCTAGAAACCAACAAAATAGAACTGGGGTCCTATCTTATTATTCCAACTCTCCTTTCAGGACGTCGCACACATCCAAACCACGTAAATCACACTCGGGATCAACATGTGCCACAGTCAGGTATGTGGTGGGGAGCGGGAGCGCTTCTCAGCCCATGGGAAAGCTGCGAGTTGCTTTCACCGCACAAATCCGTCCGTATTCATTTGATTCATCCTCTGACTTCAACGGGCTGGTCCAGTTGACTCCCTCCCATCTTTTGGCGAATGGGCGAGACTCCTCGCTTTCTCAAAGGGGCAAGGCAAAGCCTGTCAGCTTTGAGAGCTATTTGGTATGTTTCAAGATTGAACACTTTTGGGAAATGTGTGTCCACCAACAGCAAAAGGTCGAACATTTTGCGCAGGGCGAAAGTGGATATGTCAGCTGGTCCATGCTGAAGGATGGAGTCTGAAAATCAGCTTTGTGCCATTCAAAGCTGGGGGCTCCATCCAAATGACTCTCAGTTTCCTTCCGAGTCTTGTCTGAGTGGCTTTGGGGGGTAGTTGTCCTTGCCGCGACACCCGAGTGGATCGAGTTGTGCTTTTTCCGCATGCGGCTTGTTTCGCAAGCCCGAACCCTTAAAACAATTCCCTACCCCAGCAAGTTGCAAATCGATGTGAACCACCCCCCCAGACTCCCAGACCCTGGCAAGTTCCTTTTTGACCCCTAGACTTCAATCCTTCCACCTTTATGGCTATTTGGTAAAGGATCTTTGGACAACATTTTGGTTGAAATGATGGTTTCTCCGAATTGGACCCACAAAAAGGTATACACGCTTTGCAGAGGGGGCGTTACAGCAACCAAGCCACCAAAGGGACACCCCTGGGTTTAAGTCTCCCTCGTCAAAACATGGAAATTCGGATGTCAGGAGGTGCCAAAGCTGATCCTCCCGATCCTGGAGACCCCGAGTTTCCCAACTCCGGACGCGAAGTGGGGAAGCTCCCAGGCGGGGTGATTCAGTGTTCGTTGGAAATCCATGCTGAAAGGTGAACCATTCCTTAGCCAAACCCCCAACGTTGTTATTGATGTACCTCAAAAACAACAAAGCATCCGGGATATGTGTTGATGGCTTTGTCCAAGGTTCCAGCTAGGCTTGCCCTTACCTCCCCTTGAAGAACTCAAGCCGTTTTCAGCAGAATGTTCTGGAAAGGAATCCGTCCGTCCGTCCATCCGCCCACTCGTCCGTCCACTCGTCCGTGCACTCGTCCGTCTACTCGTCCACTCGTCCGTCCACGCGCTCGTTGCTTCAAACCACCCCGTACGCCTTACCTCGCGCGTTTTTGAGAATTATACGTTTACGAGTTCTTAAATTTAGCTAACCTATCGCTCACGTCACCTGGGCGGCGACGACAAGCCCGAGACCTTGGAACCTGATACCCATGAGAAGTGGTCACTTTCTGGATATCGGAGGGAAAGACATGGGGCACTCTCACGAAACACAGTTGCTTCAAGTGAACCAAGCCAAGGGATGTTCCAGCAAAAAACAGGGGGCCACTTTGCACATGGAAGCCGCCAACGCGGTGGAAAGCGCACCTTGTCGGAAGTTCTGGGCAACGGGGTGCTTGATGCCAAGTTTTAGAGTTGCAAAAAGCGCCCGGGGGTGGCTGCTGCGGCTCTGTACCTTTCTGGGGTCTGTTTGAAGGAACAATGGGACCACCGAAGCATTTAGGGGCGGTTCTTGTCTTGAGGCAAACCTAGATCTTTTTTGGAGACACTGTTGTCACATCGACCGTTCTGATGGATATTGTCTCATTAAAATCATGGTGCATATTTCAAGTGTCAGATGTCACTGTTGCGATGTGCAATCTTCAACTGGTGGGGTGTTCCTATCCAGCGATGTGGTGGTTGTATGGTTGTTCTCTTTGTCTCTCTCTGTGATTGGAGACCGATATCTGTGCTGGCCATTTTGATAAAGCTCGGACTGACAACCGGAGGAATGCTAACACATATTTGAAAACACGCGTCAGCGGCCGCGACAAACCCGAACCTCGAGCCTTGCAAGATCTGCACCACCGCGCATTAGTCAAAAGCCTTAGCCGTCCCTTGAGCTTGTACAACAGTTGCCCCCGATGTTGGTCCAAATGAAAGATGTTTTGGCAAGTCGATTTGCAGCAAAGTCGAGTGACTCTGTTTCAGCACTGCTAAAGGACAGCAAACAATTGAACGTGCTAATGCCTAGTTGCCGCATTGCCGTCATAGCTTGAGCCTCCGTTTGAACAAAGCAAGTATAGCGGATCTTTACATGTCAGATATCGGACGTATACTATGTTATGCGTGTAAACAATGTAGGTATTTGGTCCTCGCAGCATGGCACCATGTATGCGTCGCTTGCGGCCACCCGCTACGCGTGGCCGCAGAGGCATCCGGTCAAAAGGCAACCAAAGCTGCGCCACGTGGAAGATGCGCCGTCGCCCTGCTACGGGGCATTCGGTGGCTCTGCGGGCCGCACGCAAGGGTTTCTGGCGCTGGGAAGGCTGGATGAAGATCTCTTGGAATATTTGCAAGACTGGCTACACCAAGATGGCTGGGGCTTCGAGATTTCGACGAAGGAGCCCTTTCTTTCGAAAGCGGACTGGCACACCTTTCCAGAGCGCCAAACAGCCGTGGCCTTGGTACCACGCTTGGGGAGGCTGGGATATTTGCGGAGGGCGCCCGAGCGGTGCGTGGCCTTTGCGGAGGCCTTGCGGCGCCTGATCCGGCCGCGCTTCGAGGTGACGGGAGAGGGACGTCTGTTGGAAGAAGCAGTGGCCGTCGGGAGGTTTGGGTCGGTGGAAGCGCAAGTGCAAGTCCTGGACGATACTTGGCATTTCATGAGGTCGCATCGTGATGGTGCCAGCGGCATGTTGCAGTTGGGCTTGACCTTGCAAGGATCTCGTTATGTGCGTTTTGGCTGTCATACCGTTCCGTTTTCGAGCCAGAATTCAGATGAAAACGTTTGGGACGACGACTCCTGGATTGGGAGTCGTCTTGTGACACTGCCCCTGCAGGCAGGGCATGTGTACCTGGCCACCCCTGCCATCCTTCCGCATGGTGTGGCTTATGAGCCGCACCAAGCAACGGTGGCGCTGATGTTCCGGCTGGCCTTGCCAGATGTGCCTGAGAACTTGAACCAGTGCCAGAGCGAAGCCTTCCATGACATGGCGGGGCAGCTTGCAAGGCAGCTGCAGACTGCCCTGGATGGAGAGCGTCTTCACCTTCCGTCCTTGGCAGATGTGAAGCAAGTCGAGTCGGAGTTGGAGAAATGTGCCAGAAAGAAGTTTGGGGAGGCTCCGCAGGGTCCTATTAGTCAAAACGCTTGTAACATGTTCTCTCGACATTGTCATGAGGGCTTTCTTAGGGCGAGAGCTGCGTGGTCGCACCATTGCATTGCTGGTGCTTTGCGGCGGCTTGAGATCTCGGAGCTGTCAAAAATAGGGCTACTTGTTGGATCCTGGTGCCGCCTTCTAAACGTCTAAAGGCGATACTCAAAAGGGCCACTAGTTTTGACAACCCCGTGGATGTAGTTGCGGAAGGAAGCGAGTTGGTTCACTCGGCCAGGTTGAACCTGTTGCAGCCTTGTGCGAGTCTTCCGTGCAGGAGGCGGCAGATGAGTCGAAAAAATAATCCGTTGTATGTGTCAATGTAAGGCATGATCCCAGGTCTTTTGGACCTATCAAATTAGCTGCACCGCCGCTTGTAATTTGAATGGCAGGAGTGTGTTGCAGGAGCGGCCGCGCAAGTCAAACATGGGGCCGCGCAAGTAAAGCGCAAGTGAAGCGCAAGTGACGCAGTATCATCATCATCATCATCATCATCATCATCATCATCATCATCATCATCATCATCATCATCATCATCATCATCATCCGCATGGTCGAAAGAATCCGGAAGATTGCTAAATTTTCGCGCAAGTCGCGCGCAAGTCGTGCGCAAGTCGCGCGCAAGTCGTAGATGCCTTGGATCAGGAGTGGCCCATTTCTGTAGTTTGCATTTTCTTTGTTTCTGCAGATCCCAGCAATGAGTTGCAGCAGCCAGCAGCAGCAGCCAGCAGCAGCCGCAGCAGCCAGCAGCAGCAGCCAGCAGCAGCCGCAGCAGCCAGCAGCAGCAGCAGCAGCAGCCAGCAGAGCCCGCAGCCAGCAGCAGCAGCAGCAGCAGCCAGCAGCAGCAGCAGCAGCCAGCAGCAGCAGCAGCCGCAGCAGCAGCCAGCAGCAGCAGCAGCAGCCAGCAGCAGCAGCCAGCAACAATTTGCAGCGGTGTACACACCTGAGACCTCATACAGTTAAGGGGCATGTTTTGGGGGACCTCACTCTTATGAAGACCGCCGCTTGGATTTGCAATGAAAACATCCTGGGATAAGAGTTTTAATACGGGTTTTTTTTCCAGCTCAGATGGGAATGGCGAGGGTAGGCTGATGGGTTCGCCAAAGTGACTTTCTTTCGGCATTTAGCTTTGGAGGGTATTGCCGGGATTCCTTTCTAGGAGTTCTTGATTTCGCAATATTTTATGTACCGTTTGTTGTGATATTAATGTGATATGGTGCTGCAGTGCTAGCTCATGCTGAGAAGGCAGGAAGAGAGCCTTCAGTCCATGCGTCCATTTGGGAGCTTCTGCACGTGTGCAAGACGCTTTGTATATTCCACGCATCGGACCGTATTTCACTCCTCACCAGGCTTCAGAGCGATGCGTGTCAGGAGAACTCCAGTAAGCAGCGCGACTGTGATTCCATCAGTGATGGCACCGCGCAGGAGCTGTGACCGGATTCAGCCGAAGCCGATTTGAGATTGTTGGCTCGGTTGAAATTTATCATGGAATGACGTTGCACTTGTTGCCGTCTGTTGTGTTTCTTTGCTGTTTCCATCCATTTGCGGCAAGCGTGTTGTGGCTACCTGGCCGCAGATTCAATCACCAGCCCTGAATAGCCCGACAACAGGCAGACTTTGAGCGCCACATGGTCTCAGACACAGGTTTCACTGCCAGGGCAGGTCAGAGTTTGGTACACAGCCTTTTCGTAGTGAGGCTTGCAGGTGTTGGCGGAACAAGCTCTATCGTGTACGTGCGCAGGCGTTCATTGCTTGACATGTGTTAATCATGTATTTATATATATTATGCGGGAGAGATGGTTTCGCGCGTCACATCAGTACGTAGCATTATTACAAAATGATGTATGCAATGCGTGTGTATGTGTCATGAGCCAGAACGACTGTTTATGATTGTTGCCCACTGCGCATGTGTGTGTGTGTGTGCGTTTAGCACATACAGAAACCTCAAAACACTAGGCAATCGGACAATGCTGAACAAGTGAAAACTTGCACGCGCCACCAAGACTTCTTCACATGATCCTTTGTAATTTGGAGATGTTCGTCATGATAGATTTTGTGGGTTCGACCCCGGGTATGTGTCTGTTTTGGGTTCAGCGTCCTTTGCAACAGAACATTGTGAATACGCTTCAGTGCATGTGCGCGCGTTTGTAATTGCCTGTACTTTGGTTTGAACAGCGCACATTATGCATACGTAGTACGAATGTCATATGTCAGCACGCTCACAGACCCTTTATAATTTGTACACATGCAAACAGAAACGCAAAGCCGATGCAACACCATGTGCATAAAGCGCAAGCATCACTGCTGCTTTGCAAGCTTCGCAGTGCAAATAAAAGTTAGCCAGCGGAAGCAAACATACACACTCAACTCATTGGCGTTGTAAGTGTTTATATGCCATCACTACAGTCATTAGCTTGTCGAGTCACGTAGGCACACATGTCCAACCCACCCAGCAGAGTGCGAATTGCGCGAGGAGAGCTCCGGCAACTGGGGCAGCTGGAACAACTGGGGGTATGACTGGGGCGACCGAGACTGGAGAGAACAGCAGGAGCGGACATTCGCCAGTTTGGCCGAAGCCGGTTGTGCGTCAGCACCACCCCTGGATCGCCTTGGGCGGACAAGTACTTGTGCCGAATGGCATTGCGCAAACGCAGTTGCACAGCCCTTGGTTTGTCAGAGATGGATAGGGCCTTGTACTGTATCGCTCATTGTGTTGCTTACAAATCATCATGCAAGTAGGGCCGGCGAAGCCGATGGGCGGAAGTTTCAAGCATATAAAAACTATGGTTCTATGTTTATGTGCGGTAGTTTGTCCTTTTCTCTTCTTGCTGGTTGTCATCGCTTGTGGTTGGTTGTGTGTCTCATGTGTTTCTGTTTTGTCCTGATGTCCTTCTTTCCATATCTTTATACCTTTGTGTTGTTTGTTGCTTTATTTGTTTACTCTCCGTCTTTCTTGTGTTATGCATTCGTGGTTGTCTTTCTTTGTGTATTGATTTCCTTCTTTATTTATTATGGTGTCCTTCTTCATGTTTTTATTCCTGTCTATCTGTATACATATTTATGCCTGTGTAAATATGCCTAGCAAACTACATTATATATTCATCTATGTATCTACCTATCTATATGTCCATCTATCTATGTATCTATGTATTTATCTGTCTATCAATTCATTGTTCTGTCCGTCTATCTAGTCTATCTATCTATCTATATATCTATCTATCCTATCCTATCCTATCCTATCCTATCCTAGCCTAGCCTAGCCTAGCCTAGCCTAGCCTATCTATCTATCTATCTATCCACTCCAATCCTGTCTGTCTTTCTGTCTGTTTGTGTCTGTCTGTCTGTCTGTCTGTCTGTCTGGCTTGCTGGCTGGCTGGCTGTCTGTCTCTCTGTTTGTCTCTCTCCGTCTCTTTCTATCTCTCTATCTCTTTACCTATCTATCTGTTCATTTAGTTATCCAGTTTCCATCCATCTGTCTCTGTGTCTGTCTATCTGTCTAGCTATCTATCCGTCCACCCAGTTTGTCAATCTAATCTATGTATCTCTCTGCCTGTTTGTCTGTCTGTCTGTCTATCTATCTATTATATCTTTCTATTCGATCCGTCTGTCTTTCTGTCAATCTATCTATCTATCTATCTGTCTGTCTATCTGTCTATCCATTTATCTATCTGAGGGATCCGCAATTGAATGTCTCAAAGATATGAACAGTGGCAACTTGTTCATCCACGCGATTGGTAAAACTCGAGCCGCGAAAGGCCGATGCGATTGGACCACGCAAGGGGACAAGTTTATGCTGAATTCATACGTTGCATGGTGTTTAGATCGTGGTGCCGAAACACGTCTCGCTGCATTTCGACTGCGCGGGCTCGAAAGTTTCCTCTGGCGTTGGGGATGGCCAAATCTGCTTGCTGGCAATGACCGGAGGCTGCAAAACGAAGTTTCACCGCCGAATTCCGCGATAGGGCGGCAATTGGACGAGAGCCCTGAAGGCCGGCGCTTGAGATAAGACGCGAAAAACGAAGCAGAAACAGCAACGATGCCCAATGTTGCTCCGCGATGTATGGATCGCAATTGGGTCGCAGTTGGCCGGCGACTGAGGCATCCCCAAGCAAAGTAACCTTGCGCAACTCCCCGTATCTATGCATCCTAGCTGTATATATATATATATATTTGTTTGACTCAATGTATTATATCTAATTCTATTTGTCTAATATTGAAATCGCTACGCGATCCGCCGGCGCCAGTGGACTAGCCACAAAAAAGTGCAAAAACACATGGTTCCTCGATATTTCCCAAAAGCAACCATCAAAAACCGATACTAGCAACCCCGCTCATAAATACCCTAAAAAAGACTTCCAAAAGCACGATAATGCAGGGGATGTTTCGCAGTAACTACTCTGTACAGGTGCGGAATTGCAAAAAACACACATTTTTGCAATGAAACAGCAAAACACCACTAGTATCTGCCAAAAAAAAGAGACAAATTCATGGCAACAAGATAATCCTGATGATGCTGGGGATGCAGATCCTGCGCGTCCAGGGGGGGGCAAAAAAAGGCAGTCCAAGAAATTTGGAAGGAAGACCAAGTTGCGGACTGCCATCTACACGCTCGACTGGCGTCGGCGGATTTACCTGACCTGGCGAACATGCTGCAACTGCCCGCGAAATCTGTACCTGACCTTGCGAAAGCGCTGCACCTGCCACGAATGTTGTGCCTAAGCTTTCGAACACGCACTGTTCGTCGCGATCTGTACCTGACCTTGCGAAAGTGCTGCGCCTGCTAAGAAATCTATTCTGGCCTTGGGAAATTGCTGGGCTTGCCACGCAACAAATACACCTGACCTGGCAGAAGAGCTGCACCTGCCACAAACGAAAGTGCTGTGCCTGCCACGATGGTCCCGGCTCCGAACGTGGTCCGAGCCTGCTCCGAACACACTCCAACCAGGCGTCGCGATCAGGCTAACTTTTGAGCATCCCAAAGCACCGCAACCCGCGGACGGCTGTTGTTTTTTTGACATGTCTATTTCTTTGCCACACGCGCGAGCGCCTTATTTCCGTGGGCTTATTCTTCTTTTCCTGTCATTTGGCTCAGTGAGTTGGCTTTTAGTTAGTTGCCGCACCACGGAAGTTCCTTCTAACTTTTTTTTGACAAGCCTCTTTCAGCTTCAAGTGTGCGTGTTGATGGATGACATGCACGCATATGAATGTATGGTGTGTGCGAATACGTCGGCGCGAGGAGAACTCCGGCGACTGGGGCAACTGGGACGAGTGGGGGTACGACTGGGGCGACCGAAGCTGGAGAGGCAAGCGCAAGCGGCAGGAGCGGATATGATATTCATCAAGTTGATCGAAAACGGTTGTTTGCAGTTTGCGTGGACGCAGGAACAATTTAAACTCAGCAGACAGTTGTTTTTGGAGCATTGAGCGGAGGTTTCTCACGCGTGAACAAGTGGTTGGTTGTTTGCATGTGTACTGTCTACACACGTATAATTATACTTTCCTTTTTATTGATGTGATATCTAAATATGCATATGATACGGATCAGGTCTATGAATGTATGAATATGGATATATGTATATACACACACAGGTCATGTCTATGGATGTGTGGATGTAGGGCATGCAGCATGGCTCGGACTGAGCGAGGAGAGCTCCGGTTCCCAGCGCGACTGGCGCGACTGGGGCTATAGCGGCTATTGGAACGACGGCCGGAACCAGCAGGAGCAAAACCTGCCGATACTACTGTTTTGCCTTGAGATGTTTTTTGTGTTTTCTGAGGGCGCTCTGTTAAGGCGAGGTAGAAAGGGAGTGGCATGTTTGAAAACAAAATGGTTGCTAACATGACCGCTGCAGGTGAATGATTTGTAATAAGCAAACGATGGTTGATTCCTGGTTGATTGCTGAACCGATTAGCAGTCTGTAGGTCATCCGGAAAGGAGGCAAGCTTATGCTGATGGATGGAATCTATTGCAATGGCCGGTCTTTGGTGTGACCTTCAGCCGATTAGACCTTTCAGAACCAACTGGTTTTCCATTAAACCTACACATGGTTACATCTTTTGCTCAAGCATGAAGTTGTGGCGCAGGCGGCGAGGGATGACATAGAGAGCCAGATGCCAGCTGATCAGAAGCAGGCGCCCTCGTCCAGTTGAGCGCACTCGGATTTTCTGAGGCCTTCAGGCATTTCTTGCGGGAGCCAACTTGGTGCACAAAATGCCCAACAACTCGTTTCGCAGGTGTCGGAGGACTCGATGAACAAAGCAGCAACAGCTGCTTCAGCAGTCGAGGCAAGTACGGCGGGGGAAGCAGAAGTGGGGGTGGCCGGTCCTCAAAAAGGGTGGACTTTTTTTGGATGTTTCTTAGGGGAGCCAAAAGGGCCCATATCTATTTGAACCGCGCATAAGATGGGCAACATTGCCTGCATTGATCATCTAGCCGTGGTGATACATAGTGTCTTAGGCGCATGAGACGGCATCGGCTGGAGAGCTGCGAATCTAGTCCTCTTAGAGTCCATGGCAGTGTGTTTTTGTGTGTGTGCGCGGTTGTGTGCTTGTGTGCCTCTTTTGTTTGTTGTTGTTGCTGTTGTTTTTGTTGGGGTGGGGTTGCGGGGGGGGGTTGCCCCTCTTGGTTTCAAGGGCCTACGATTTTGGGCGATTCTTAATTTCGAGATAAGCAGAGCATGTGGTTCAATGATGATCCGTCAAAGTTGGCAGTTTGGAGTCCAGAGAATCGCGTATTGAATCATTCAGATTCAGTGTGAAGGGGGCCTTCTTCAGCTAAGCTGCACTTTGTGCATTTGGCTTGAGTATGCTTGATTGTGTGTGTGTGTCTGTGTGTTGTGCTACACATCCAGTGATGCGAGCAAGGGTTCAGCATCAACTTCTTACTCTAAAGTCAGATGGAGGCCCCATGGTAGCGGGGGTTCATTTCCTCACAGCAGCCACATCGCCACTTGCGTGATTTGCCCAGGTTGCATCTTATTTTTGAAGAAGAGGAGAGCTTGGCAAGGGTTTAGCTACTCGCTGTATCACCTCCTGGGGATTCCTCATTTTCCCCGCCACGTAGGCTGCGAGCGAGCCCAGCCCGGCTCCAGCTCCGGAGCCCGCTCGGGTTCCCAGATCGAGTGTCTCGACGCCAGGGTCCTTTGTGAGGAACCTGTCGTTTGGCTCCTCAAAGGAAAACCAGATTCAACAACCGAAAAGGCCGCTTCAAAGGGAACCCAAAAGAAGGTCGGCTGAGCAGCCATGCTTCAGCCCTACTTCCGGAAAGCTGTCGAAAGTTGGCACAGGAAACGCCCGCTTGGCCGACTTACAGGCAAACTTGCCAAAATTGGTGTGCGACCTCTCCCACAAACGGCCTTGTCTTGTGGAGGAGCCCTTGCTTCAAGTTTGTGAATCACTTGCAATCCAACAAGCTAAAGTAAACCAACTTTATCCACAAGGCAAACCTCAAAGATGCGAGCACGGAGCGCGAACGGGAATCTAGGAAGTAGCGGAGATGCTCCTTGCGCTGGCATTTATCTGCGCGGACCCAACGCTCCGGAATCCGCTCCGACTCTGTGAAGTTGACAGGGCTAGGTTTAGTATGAGCTGAATGTGCAGAAAATCATGGTCAAAACTCCAAGCACCCTACAGTTCAACTCGGAACTCAATCCCCACCTTTCTTAGAGAAATCTCCTTTGGAGGACCCCGTTTTTGGCTTCCATGTTGATTTGTCGGAGAGGTGTTTTTTCGCCGTGTTCCGGATTGACGTTTCGCAGAATGAGGGTACGACTACTGAGGCTCCAGCGGCCCTGCGCTCCATTCTGAAGCTTGGCAGATGGCTTGTCACGTTTCGCTCAGAGTTTGACTTTTTGTGCTTCCCTTGTTGGTCCATGTTTGTGTCAACATTTGGTAGTATCTTACATCTTGGCCCCTGACTGAGAGGATGAATAGCGAACAGGCGCAAACCCTGTTTAGTATATTACTATTATGATGATGATGATGATTATTATTATTATTGCTGTTATTATTGTTATTATTATTATTATTGTTATTATTATTATTCTTATTTTATTATTATTATTATTATTGTTGTTGTTGTTATTGTTGTTGTTATTATTATTATTATTATTATATTTATTATTATTATTATTATTATTATTATTATTTATTATTATTATTATTATTATTATTATTATTATTATTATTATTATTATTATTATTATTTTTTCTACGTTGACCAATCCTTATGTCCGAATCTGAGGAAGCCTGGGTATCGCGCCAAAAATTTGCTGAGAGTCTCATTCGTGCTGCGCTCAGTTTTTGAATGACGGTCGATGGGGTTCAGCCAGGTCCGTTGCCCAGCCAGATACATTGTCAGGCCATTTCAGGGACCGCTGTTTTGAAATACCCCCTCTTACGTGTACTTGCCATGCTTTTTTCCGTCCATCGCGAGACATAGATTCACATCCTGCCCAAACGTGCAAGCCATATGGCTCATGAGCAGAGGCTCATCAGTCCACAGATACCCTCAAATATTAAGAAGCACAAAACATGGTGGATGGTCCTTGTACTTTTTGGCCTTGCCTCGAAGCACTCGCCGTGGCGGGCTCAGGAGAAGGAATTGGTGAGGAAAGTGGCAGAGGCCGGCAGCGACGTCAAGTTGATGGCTTGGGTTGGGCAAAATTACTGCAACGTCACATACCGAGGGCTTTGCGACCTTGGTCTATGATGAAGGTGTTTACCTGGTCTATGATGCCTTTTTGAGTGTCCCTTACTTGGTGTTGTTCCACCACCATAAACTACAAAACATGTCTAGCACCCTGCCCGCTGTGTTCAGGGATCCTTCTCTTGAGCAAATATGCCAACCACATGGATAATTTTGCCACCGGTCAGCATAGGCCTGGGCAGAATCAGCAGCTTCCAATGGCTTGGAGGCCACCTTGCCTGAACATGGGGATCCGGCCAAAGGCTTTTTAAAGAAACACCCAGAGGAACCAAGACATTTCTAGCAGAACCATCTGCTTCTGCACTGGAATTGTCCTGACTCGTCCAACCATTCAAGCTTTCGAGTTGAATGTGTTGTCTTGCTTTGGCGGTGCATGTAACATTGTCAATCTTGAGTTTGAACGAAGCCGATTAGAAACCAAATCGAACTGATCTCCAAAACATTTATAATTTTCCTGGAAATGTGCATGAGCTATTTATTGCGAAAATTGAAGTGGGGCTTTGTTGGTCTGCAGCTCATTGGACTATTGTCCAGTCATAGTTTGGATGTATTACATCACGTGCAAGCACATAGCCTATCAGACGGACTAAAGAGATTTCAGAAGCAGCATGATGGCCAGAGCGTCTGCTGGAACTAGATGCGCAATTCCCATTTTTGTGGCGAGTAAGGTACTTTCACCCAACTAATTGTTAACGCTTCGCGTTGCCCGCCTCGGCCAGTCCGCTTTTGGCTGGCTTTTGAGGCATATACTGTGCTTTGATTTGACGGGAGTTGGACCGGTTTTCAGAGAGGATTTGAGGAGATTTGATTGGTTTCTGAAGGGGAATTTGACCAGTTTAAGGGAATTTTGCCGGTTTCTAGAGGGATTCGACCAGAGTTGGGCCAGCTTTGAGAGGAGGGGCCGTTGCCGCAGGATTCTGCCATGGTTGGATGCTACCCTTTCCCCAACAAATCATATTGGACAAGGGGCCTTCTCAAGAAGATGGTAGTCTTCCAAAACCTAACATCCACGATTTGTATTTCACCAACTTAGAATAAGACATGGACTCCCTTTGCAAGAGCCCTTGTGTCTTCCATGATTGTTACATGAATTCTGAGAATGGTGGACCTTCTTGACACGTAGGGAAGCCAAAAGGAAACCGAAGCCCAAAATGAGTTCGTCCGCATCCGATGCTCCGAGCTCCATCTTCATCATCTTCAGGTGCCGCGAGCCCCGCGCACCGACTGGTACCAGCACATTAAGAAGTCTCTGGTGGCTTGCCAGGGCCCTTGGAACTCGATGGGTGTCGTGTTGTTTGGGGGATGTCTGCGTTGGGGGTACTCTTACACCCACCCTAAACCCACCAAAAACCAACCCCCGACGAACCCTCAACCGACTAGCTCAACATGAACCACCCCTAAACCCACCCTGAACCAGCTCTTAAACCAACCCCAAACCAACCTAAACCAACCCCCAACACAAAAGACACGCTAGACCCGCCTTGTCACAATACGGTTTCCCCACCGGATGGTCTTAAGCAAGAAGGAACGTCTCCGCGCCACTCCTTGAAATTATCTTGTGGCATGGCGCAATGGCATGCCCCACCACGGATAGTTGATGCCGATGTGTGTTGCCGGTTGATGCACGATGGTGTTCATTCATATTGGCTGCTGTGTTATTTTGATGTTTGGGTTCCTGACCACTGTCGTCGCGTTTACGGTCTTTTCTCCGGATACCGTTGTTGCTTGGCTTGCCGCTTTCAGTATGCCTCCATCGGGAAGCTTTCTGGGATAATTTTGGCGAGCCTCGCCCTTTCAACCGAGCTTTGACCTTTTCGAGTGCTATCTATTTGCTCGCAGGTTCTTTGCGCTGCAGTGTTGTCAAGGGTTTTTAATTCGGGCATATTCGGGCTCAACACTCATTTGTTGACGCCGGGTGTTTCATCTGAATCGGGTGTTTCATCAGAATCCAAGGGATTCAGCTTACACAGTTAATGGTCAATTTATTTGTCGCGGTGTTTGGGTTTTGTGTGCATTTGTTGCTTTCCAAGAAAGCTTGACTTGCTGGCAGATATGATGCTGTGCTTGTGGACGAGGCGTAGCTGCTTACATTTGGTTCTACAATGGAATCGATTTTCAACATGCCCAGTGTGGGGTGACTCTGATATATTATACTGCGTTCTTGTGATGTCTGGTTCAAGTCAGCCCTTGAACTTGCTTCACCACAACTCAAATACATAACCAACCATTGCTGGTGAGTCAATTCAATTTGACTCCATGCTATGAGTTATACAAGTGGATTAACCAACCATATTTGCCTAAATTTGGCTCTACCTTGTTCCATTCCATTCATCAAACCAACTCAGGCGCCCGTTGCGGGGAGTGGTGGGAAGAGCGGAAGAGCTACGTGGCCGAGAACTACCGGGGCCAGCGGGATCTCGTTTGCGTGCACTGCCCGACATCCCAGCTGACTATGTTTGACGCCAAGTCTCGAGGCAAAACGAGCCGCGGTGGTTTGGGTGGTGCACTTTGGTTGTTTTCTGGGTTCAGTTTGGTTCAGTTTCGTTTAGTTTGTTTTGTTTGGTTGAGTTGATTCCGGATGGCAATGGCAAATTTATTAAATTGATGCACTGTGTCACCGCTTTGACATTGCAACCCCCAGGGCCTGCAGTGTCCATGGGAAAAATGAACATTGTTTGTTGGTTGATTTTGAAGGGACCTCCCCACCACTGGGTCTGGGAATCATCTGCAAGTTTCAGTGGCAGCGATGCAGCTCGATATGGAAACATCCCCGCGTTTGCTTGGGCCTCTCCGCAGCCCTGGATGAATCGAACACCTCCGACACATGCCCCAGGCAAGTCAGATTGGCCCCGGCACCTGGTATCCAGTTTGCCTGGTCGAGGCGCACGCGATTTTTTACGCTCTCGTCGGGGGAACTGCCTTTGGGAGTTTGCAAGCCGAGGAAACGCCTGACTTGCCGGACCGGTTTGCGGCCTAAAGGCGCCCCTGGGTTTCCATCTCTCCGTGTGGACAAAATGTCAAGGGGTTTCGGGCGCTTCTCACTGCACTTGGACTTGGGAACACGCCGGTGCTAGATTGCCATCCGGTCAACTTATAGCAACCTCAAGAATGTGTTGCAACCTCGCCCATGAAGGTTCCGTTCAGAGTTTGATTGCTGTTGGGTTGGATCTTTAAACTTCAACTTTTGGGGAAATCAAGGGCTTTCCATTGAACCCACAAAAAGTTGCTATTTTTGCAGAGGGCAACAAGAGAGTAATCCTTACTCTTGGTCAGCGATCTGTGAACGGATTGCCTTGTGGTGGTGGCAAGCTTTGAGTTCCTTGCCGGCTTCAAGCTGAAGCTGCCAGATGGCTCTACGCGATCAATTTGTGCTTGCAGGTTCCCTTTGCGAACGAATCAGGCCTTGCGTGACTAGGCCTTGTTGCATGGCTCGCCAAATCAACCGCCCACACAAAGGTCCGCTGTCACATGTCTCACTGGACGCTAGCACTCAGGCCAGCTGCTCAATGCCTGCTTTTATCATGACTTTCCAGCGTTCTCAATGTTAAAAAGATCCTGAACAAATCGGCCAGCATGTTGACATGTTGCTTGAACGTAAGTGTGAACCGATATGGCATGCGGAGTGTTTGATACGTGAGCTTCTCAAAACGTAGGCACCCTTGAGTTCTGTTTGGGTGCGCTTGCTTCCCGAAGAGGGGCAGCTTGTTTCACCAGGATGCATTGCGATGATTTGTTTCCACTTACGTCCGAAGGATTTGAGAAGGTGTGGGGGAATGAAGAAACAAATCCAGATTTGCAACCCATGAAGGACATTCGTCGACACCGCCCCATCACACCTCCTAGGAGCTTCTCCTTTTGGGTTTCCTTTCAGTATGGTTTGAGAACCAAAAGCCATGAGGGGTCCCTTGCTCAGAAGGTCACTTGTGGGTGTTTAGGGCAGCACCCAAGCAGCTATGAGGATGGTCCGCTGTATCACAAGGGTTATGTTCAAGCATGGATTCGCATGAATTGGGGGGTAAACAAAATCATGTATTGAATTGTGGGAGCCCCCCATAGGTAGTTTTTCTAGCCAGAAATTCAACAGGAAATCGGGGCACCCCAGGTCTGGAGGGGTACTACATGTCCTCATCCTTTGGTTCTTGGGCCAGGTTATCAAGATGCCTTTTGTGTATGCGTATGATCAATGTGAAGTCTGTGTGTGTCTGTGGTAGCATGTATATACACTTCCCAGTGTATTAGAGACAAAGCCACCGTCCATGGCTAAGCAGCAGTCACATGTTCTACTGTTGCGACAGGATGCGTGGGCTCGCTGCAACTTACCGAACCGTGGGGCGCTTGGGGGCGTTGGGGGCCGAGGCATGTGCCCGTATATTAACGAAACTTCTTTTTTTTGGTAGGGAGGGGGGGGGTGGGGGAACGGGGAGGGGGGAAACAAGAAAACACCTTTTGGATGTTGACCCATATGTTGATGAGACCATTTTGGGGATCCCACCCAAAAAAAACACCTTTTTGACGTTGGCCCCGCTGTTGCTTTCGGCTTTCGGCTTGGTTAAGACCCAGGCTGCCGCCAGCTCCCGTCAGCCCGGAGATCGGCGAAACGAGCAGCCCGGAGATCGGCAGCCCGGAGATCCTGAGCTCTGAGTCCGAGGCGGGGGAGTGCCTCAGGGTCTGGACCGCAAGTTTCTTGGTCCATGTTTCCGCTTACCAGGGCAATACCGATGTTCGACCCGCCATGCGGTTTGGGGGCTCAATCTTTTTGGTCTTGAATGGATTTCCAAAGGAACACGCCCGTTTTGGCGGGTTCCCTGAAGTTTAGGACAATCGTAGCCAGACTTAGCTTGCCTTGTTCACTTTGTGCCTTTAATTGATGCTTCTCTCTTCCCTTTCAACCAAACAAATAGCTGTTTTCTCAAAGTTTGGCCAAGACATGAGGGAAGGCCTGGAATGTGTGGTTTTCATTCTATTGTCTAGAACAAATCAAATTGCAAAGGATCAAGGAGCTAAAGGTCACAGCAAATGGCCACCACCCGCAGATTTGAACAGGACGGCGGCCCCTATCTATGGCTGGGACTGCCCCCTAAACTTCAGAAGCCCCCCGCAACACCAGACCTGCTTAAGCCTTGCCCCTTCGTTCAGCTCCATATCCATCTGCCGGGGTGTTCCGGTTCGAAAGCCGAACCCAACGGACACTTCCATTGGCCGGCGTCCACGGATCGCCTCCCTGATTGAAAAAACCGTTGAGTCATGTCAAAGCCTGGCAAGTCTCAACACAAGCATAGCATGTCAGCCTTGGCTCTTCTGCCAAGTCACCTGAGGTGCAGGCTGCTCATGTTTTTTTGCTGAGCATGAAATTTGCCACGCGAAGCATGGCACAGATGCCAGCCAAAGGCTCAGCTGCAAGCCATGCAAGACATTCAAATTAGCAAGAGCTGTTCGATGAAAAGAAGGCCAGAAACAGTCCGATAGCAAGAGAACGCAGCAAACATTTGGTGAACACATGCTCCAACATGCCAGGCCATGTTTTGTTTATGCCCCCACGCGCCCAGGGGGAAGATTCCATGTCTGACGTTAGCTGGAAGCTGAGAAAGGGTTCTGGCAAAACTGGCGGAGCGTGAGAGTGCTCGGTCCTGGGCCCAGCTGTCCCTTGACGAAATCCGTTTCGCACCACTTGGAAACCATGAGAAACCATTGTTTCTTGGTATTTACGGGGGAATCAAATCTTTCCGAGGTGTCTTAGGTGCAGTATGTTGTCCATCCACAGTATGTCAGTTTTGGGGGCGCCGTGGGTGGTTTTCCTGTTTGGTGTTCCGAAAAAGTAACGAGCCACCCGATGGAAACGGAAACACATATCTTGGATTCCGAACCATTCGGAGGCCGCCAGGTTGCTTCACTTGGCTGATGTAGATGTACGGAACCTTAGTTTGCAGCAATTGCTGGCTTTATCCGTCCATTCATGTCTTCTAGTGTTGCAGACCTGCAAACCAAGTCAAGGAACAGGCCCGTACGCAAGAACAGGGCGTACATCTTCTTGATTTGTTGGCTTATGTGTCGCAAAACATGTGGTGAAAGCTAGAACAGCAGGCTCAGATCTGCTTCATGTCGGCATGACTTTCGGACTGCGACCGATCCCGAGCAAAATGATTTCGCTCTTGTGCCTAGATCCATTGACAAATTTGGAGGGCGCTTACCAGTACCACGCCACCTGTGCGTATTTACTGCAAGGCTTTAGCATGGTCATGGGTATGCCTGCTGACTACTCGATTCCAGGCTCCGCCTGGTGAAAGCCGTCCCATCTGAGGCACCGACAATTCCAGCGACCTGGAGGCTGAGATCCGGACCCAGGACGGGTGGGGAAGGCATTTGGGGGGTGTGTCGTTGCTCCTGCGAAAGGGAAACAGCCATTTTGGCAGATTTGCCGGCCCCCAAACTTTGACAACACAGCCAGACGGGGAAGCAATAGGATAGCAAGGCGGGACATGTCCGCAAAATAAGGGGTCCCTGAAAATAGAGGTGTTCCTTCAGGCTTCTCTCTTATAGCAGCATGCAAGCATGGTGGGGGGGGAAATCCTAGTTTTGTAGCCAAAGCGACTCCACATTTCCGTCCAGCAGGGACTCAATCACCAAAAGCCCCACAAGGCTCACTCATTCTCCCTGTCCTGTAGGGGGAAACGAGTCGTTCTCACCATAAGCCTGACATAAACCTCTGACCGTGGGGCCAGGAGCTGAAGCGTCAACTGGAGAAGGCACGTGGGGTTTGGAGCTGTCTAGGTGTGGAGCTAAAACATTGCTTGAAGGGACTGATCCAATGGTTCGGGGCCCCTTTCTGTGCAAGTAGATGGCCGCACAATTCCTGGTGGATGTGGGTCAAGTAAAGGGGATGGCAGAACCAAAGGGGCAGAATTGTGGCATGTTCTTTCATCCATCTGCGAGGTCGATGAATCTGGGAAGCAATTCCCACAGAAGACCCGCAAGGCCGTGCCGGCCGTGCCCACTGCCCCATTTGCAAACAGTGGCGAGACATGCTCCGTGTGTAAAGGTTGAAGGAGGGAGGGCTCGCCCAGCTCCATTTCAGTCCTCCCAACAAGAAAATGGGACGGAATTCCGGGCGCGCCCCAACTTCATTTCCTACAAATGGTGTTGACACTATCTTGTCTACCGGCGGTACCAGTCTGGTTTGCAGTTGGCCCTTGGCAACATGTTGACTGTTATGACGTGCGGCCTACTCATGGCTTTAGAACAGCCTGAGTTTGGGCTCGAAGTGCATGAGTATAAAGCTCGATCTGCACCACACACAGCTGTCGATTCCAGGAAAACGTCACATGCCAGCGGTGGCTCTCCTATCGGCCTTCCTGCCAAGCGATGCTGGCCGAAAACATGGGATCGGGTTACGTCGAAATCAAGCTTCATTTCAGGAATGTGTTCGTAAATACTTATAGGCCCCATGACTCCATGACACACCACGTTTGTGACTCCCTCTCGGAGTCTCCCGACACAAAGAGTATTACTGAAGAGTATGCCCTTTAACCAATTCGAGTGGGAAAGACCACTCACTTGGCTGTTCCTCTTGCAGGGGGCTCATGCGAAGATTGAACCCCATGCGAAACGAAGTCGGGGCGAGCCCGGAATTCCAGTTCTTTGTCCCATTTTCTTGGGAAGATTTGAATGGATGGTGCACCGAATTAGAGTTGGACTGGTACCTGCAGTAGACAAGATGGAATCAGCACCATTTGTAGGTAGGGGTTTGGAGATCAGAATTAAGGCTCGTCAAAACACCAACCTCACGCCCGCATCCAGGCACCGCGCCTTGGCACGTGACCTGTGCTATTCCTTTGGTCTGGCGACACCTTTTCCCGTTTTCCGGGATTGCTCCCCCCAAACTTGGGCTAAAGAAGCCCCGAGAAATCCACCGATTTGCCTGAGCCTGTTTATGCCAGGCGCCTCTTTGGGGAGCGATCCTGTCAAGTTTACGCACCTAAGGTGCCATGCAAGTGTTTCAACTCACCGCCCAACACGCAACCCCATGGCTCGTCACCTTCGCAGGATGCATGAGTTTGACACGAACTATTGCCAGCTCGAAGCACTGCCCCAAGATGACGGACACCAATCGAGATTTTCCATGTAAGTGAATTGTAGGATCCCAGTGGTAGGTTTTTTCTTGTGCTGTCTTGGAGACACGGGTGACTGAGAGCCCATACCTAGGCTGGGCAGAAAAGTGGGCTGCCAGGGTTTGGCCGACCTGAGACTCGCTGCTTTCTTGTCTGAGATGACCAGAAGTGTTCAGAGTTGTGCTTTACCTACTTGCCCAAAGCCGACCTTTCAACCTTTTGGTTTCCCTGCTGTGGTCCATATTTAGTCAAGGTTCCTGGTCCTCTGGGTAGAGTTTATCTTGCTTTGTAATTTCCTTCCTGGTTTTTCGTCCAAACCTGTTTTACTCGGCGATTCTGAATATTTGGGGACCCCAACATGGTTGTGTTGCTTTTGGCTTCGGCAACCTCAAACAAGACGCCCAAGAATTGTGTTGTTTCACTCAGGCGCCGCTTGCCCACGCATAATTCGACTTGGGGAGCGATGCGCATAGCTGAGGGCTAGCGAAGGCGCGATCGCGTGCACGCGACCCGCAATTGGGTAGAGGGTGGCTTCACGCCCTGGAACAAAAGGGCAAGCAGAAGAAAATGCGGAGCGAAAGCGTGATAGAAATTGGGACTTTGGGAAATATCCGAGTTTTGTGCTACCTCTCATGTCGTATTCTCTTTGGAAAGCCTTGGTTGCACATGTTTGGTGAAGCCGATGCACCGCAATTGTATCATTGCACATAGGTTCTTCTGCCATAAGCATCCCTTCTGCGCAGGGCTGGGAGATCGGCGAGATGGAGGCGCTCGTGCCAACTCACGTAGATGTTGGGTGACTGGGCGAACTTTCTGTAGATGTTCTGTTCTTCTCTGGATATCAATTGGGGCAGAGACGGGCAAGAAGTCGGCAAGAAGCCTCAGAACTGATGTTGGTTCTTCGCTAATCTTATGAATCGTTTTTAGCCCACCCTCCACTCTCAGCCAACATGAGCCGAAGTGTCATCGACAAATTCCCCTTCTTTTGGTGCAGGTTTACCAAGTGCTCAAAGGCGGAATTTCCGCTTGGAAGGACGCAAAGTCTCCTTTACTCAAAGAGGAGGCTTGCCCCCCCCCCCCCCGCCCGAAGAAATGAAAACTATTCATATAGCTGTCCAACCAGGCTGGACTAGCTGTTATTGGTGCGCTCGACGCTCACGCCATGCGAGCCGACCACAAACACAAGGTGGGATCCCCAACATGTCAGAGACCCAGTTGTTCAGTGGCACCCTCTAAGTCGTTAATCTTGTTTCGCTAAAGATTGGTCAACCCCAATGTGTTTCTTTGTTCTTTCTGGTGACCGCGGGAGATGGCCCAAAGGGACCCGTCGGCTCTGGTGTACAAAGCCGCGACAGGACGGCGTGCGGCCGGCCGAAGATGGCGAGCCCGCTGGGCTCTGAGTGGATTGTTCGTATTGGAAGGAACCTTCGACATCGACCTGTGGAGTGCACCTTTCAGGTTCCGTTGGTTCAACAGCCCGAACGAGGTGGACCTTGTTTCCCCGTTGCTGGACATGTTGCTGCATTTTGAGGTGTGAACATAGTCCCAAATCTATGAATGCAATGGTTGCTTGGTTGCAAAAGCTGCCGTTGGAAAATGTGTTTTCTTGATCATACCCTGTTCAGAAGGGACAATTCATGGTACGGTATGCAATCCAGTCTTAACATGTAGGTGGTCAGTTTCCTGTAGACAACCTTCTATTTGATGGTCGTATGTTGATACGGGTTTATTATTATCTTCTTACCTGTATCTTACTAATATGTGTTTGACGTTTTACACATCATTTGTGACGTCTTATTTACATGTAGTGTTACCTTTCTATTTTGGAGTTATTCCTTCATTCCTTGTAGTATGAATTTTCCTTTATCATGGTCAAGCTCTTGATTGGAAGCGTATGCCAGTATCGTGAGGAGTTTTTTGCCAGTCAGACAAATCATGTTCAGAAGTCGCCAAACCTCGTGATAGTTGACATGTTTGGGCCACGTTCGTGGCCACCCAGCCCTTGACACAATTCGCCCCAAGACTTGCCCCAAGATCTAATCGTTGACTTTGTTTCCTGGCGACGGAGCATGCCACAAGCGTGCACGGCAAGGGCCACGTTGACGGCTGCTTCCGAATATGTTTGCGCTGGGTACACCAGATGTGTGGACCGGGCATGAATCGAATTCTGCAGCTGCTTGCGAGGGTATGGGTCCACCAAAACGAGATATATAAGGGTGTCTTCTGAGAGAACCCTTTGGGTTGCTCTTCAATGGATACCAGAAGGAAACCACTCGTTGCGGGGGTTCTAGACCAATTAGGAGTGATCCTTCCGGTTTAGGCGAAACTTGCCAATTCACATGCCCCCTGCTAATGTCCAATGTGTCCTTTTAGGCCCCCTCTTTGGTTTAGGAAACCCAAGACCATTTAGTTCCTATGGGTGTGAGGGAAGACTGAGCAAGCTATGAAGCCATCGGCCGAACAAAAACATGGCCCAGGATGTGTTCTTTTCCCACTCGTACACCGACAATTGCCGGAGACCTGGTGCTCTGATTGTCCGGACTTTGGCTCTTCTGATCTCTGCTTCGGTTTATATTATGAGTTGCCCTTGGTTTTTGCACCGCTCATTTTGTTTGGAACCCTTTAAAGCGACGGTTGCAGCAACGCAACAACGGAATATGCCTAATTAATTGTGGTCGCTGGGGATGGTTCTAGGTCTCAGGGCGATCAGGAGAGCATTAGCAACACCTTGCGTTCGGCAACTTGTAAGATGCTTCTCGGCAAAAGATGGGACGGTGATGGGAAACCAACAGCCTGAAGAAAATCGTTTGATTCCCTTTTCTGCAGGTCATAGGTTTTGGCCCATCAGTTTGCCCATACAGCGCTTGACATTTTTTGAGCTGCTTGAAACTGACACTTATCCCCTTCCATGTTCCGCCTGAATTCCTACAAAATCTGCGGCAGCACCGACTCTTTCACAAAGGGCATTGCATTATGTTGTGTGGTTTTTGCTCCATGGATCTTTCCTATCCATGGCTCAAAAGAACTCCCAGCTCTGAGGGCAACGCTTCGGAGCCGGTCGCCATGATAGTGGTTCATCCTGCCGTGAGGCCGCCTCTGTGTGGTCAGTCGGGCCATGCCGTGCCGTGGCGCCCTGGACCTTTGCACAGCCTTGGTTTTCCGATGGCTGGCTGTTTTGTGGTGAGTCGTGGACGGAACCGATGGCATCGCTTGCATGCGAAGTCTGAGGCGGGATTGTTGGAGAAGGAGGAGGAGGACGAAAAGTTGAAGAGGATAGTACTGGCGATTGCAGATGAGATTGTAAGCCTGGTGCCAGTGGTGGGCCCCATGAAAGATGCTGTATGAGCGGGACAGGAGCAGCGGCTGCGGGACTATTGTTACCACGTGGTCATGCTCCTTTGTGATTTGACTCCAATGGTTTGGGCAAGTGAGGCAGCAAGAATGGCAAAGCTCGCTTCCAAGATCGCAAAATTGGTACGGGCAGGCAAAAAAGGTTATTCCTTGAGGAAGGTGGCCGCTGCTGCCAAACAGCTTCTGGAAGAAGCGGACGCTGCAAAAAAGCTGAGCCTTGAAATCCGGACGACTTTGAAGACGATTCACAAAGTTTGTGTACGCTTGGCGGATGAGCTAGACAATGATAAAATATCAGATGAAGACTAGGCAAGGAAAGCAAAAAGGTATATAAACAAAACTAAGTGTGTTGCCTGTTTTATATGTTAATATGTGTTGTTGGTTATAGTTATGGAGATCAACAACAAAGGTGATATTTTGATATTGCCTGCCGTTTACCAGTGGAGAGGTAATGGTTGTTTAAACAATGGAAACAAACTGAGAGTTACATATATGAATGTCATATATTCTTTAAACGGAATTTGTGTGCCGCAATGAATTTGGAATTTGGAGATGTTCTACTTTGAAAAACAAAGCATGGCAATATTGTGAGATAGTCATTATTGGATGATCGAGGGGCATTGCTTCAAAGACTTTAGGAATTTATGTTATATGTATATTAATATAATATCTATATCAATGGTACCCATTAGTAAATATGAACTAAGTAAGACAATAAGTTAAGTACATTTGAAGGACATTGTGTGAGTTGTTCTGATTTATAGATAGTTGATGTGTTTGACAGTTTTTGGTATTTTGGGTGAATGTTGAATATTTTTATTCAGCCGCTTACGAGGCTTTGTGTGACTTTCTCAATGGGAAAGAAGCAGAAGAGTGACTTGGGAATTGGAGTTGGTGAAGTTTGGATTGTATTCAGTGTACGGACTATGTGTTTAGATAGTTCCGGGGGATTGCTTTGTTTTTAATAGTAGTTTTGAAGTTATGGTTGTCAAGATGTTTGATTCTATTGAATGCTTGTTATGGTACTGCAGTATGCTTGTACTTCAAACTATTTGTTTATTGTTGTAAGGTGTTATTTAGTGATGAAACCTTGAGGAGAAAAATAATCGAATGGACTACCACACGAAAATACATTGAGATTTGATGTAATTTGACTATATGGGCAGGCCAGTATATCGTTTTATGATGCAAGCTGAAAACGGAGCATCACTACTTATAGACATCCACATCATTGTTTTAGTTATTCCCCGATTGATCTATATTACTTGTTAGCTGGCCACTTTACCTTACCATAAGCCATAGCCCTGCTGAATTCGTATCTTACACTTGTAAGTGTTTGTAAATCTATGATGCGAAGCTTAGGTTGACCATACCAAAATTGAATTGTAAAATTACTTCGAGGTATGACATGACTCAATTTGAAGACGCATTGATCCCGATTTTGAATCAAATTGAATGTTGTTTTTCTATGGAAAAATAACAGACTTGTTGGACTCTACGCTTGCCTGGTGATGACATGTTTGTGTAGGTGACTCATACGGAGACGGACTTGGTCTTGAGTGGTCCTATACCTTTATAAGGAGATACATGAACGTATGATAGATTGAATAATATATATATATATTATGAATACTAAGATAAGCAAGGAGATGAGAATCCATTTCTACCACTGCGGGTTTAAGTGTTGATTGCCGCTTTGATTTGGAGGGGTGAAGTAGATGGCACAATTATCTTTCTGCGAGTAAGGGACGCGTGCCATCTACTTCAGACAAGTGTAGCTGAAGCTCAGGCCCGTCGTATACATGACTTTCCATTACCCAAAGGAAACCATGTTCACCCGACTGCAAATGAAGTCAAAATAATGGCATTCTAAAAACATTGGTTTCCTTTTGATTTCCCTTTAAGTACCAATCAACATGGGTCCACCGTTTTGAGCAAACATGATCAAAACCTGATGCGCCGAAGGCTCCAAACGTGCCCCAGGCCGGCGTGTGGACATGGCACTCTTCGAGTGCAACTGCCCGAACAGCAGGGAGCCTCGTGCTTGGGTTCTAATGCTTTCCCCCTAGCCCCCACCCTGCCCATTCAAAAATACTGGCTTTTGGTTGCAAGCGTATTTGATAGTAGGGTCGCAGGGGGTCCCGAACGGTTTCCACTACCGTTCTCGTTCCGCTCTTGGGCAGGAACCGTCACAATCGTAATCTGCTGTGCAAGGAATATATATATATATATGTATGAAATTGCTCTAGGCACATGTTGGATCCGACAATTCAAATTGCAAGCCAAAATTCAAATTACAATTGTCCATATATGAGTTTACAAGTAAACGCAGAGAAGTGCCGAAAGTAGCGCCTAATAAGGGCTGACATAATTCAGTATTGGTTTAGTAATTGGGTCCATGAAAAGTAGAGGGGACGATGAGCCTTTTGGATTCTGGCCTCAAAACATACTTATGAGAGCGGATTACTGAAAAAAACATATGACATGCTCTTCTACTTCAGGGTTCACTGAATTGAAACCAGCATCAGAAGACGGTTGGGGCAAGAACAAGTCAAGTCTGGGAATCAAATTCAGGGACATGGTGCTCTCAGTATACATCTTGCCTTCGGATGCCTGTTGGGATTGTTTTCAATTGTTTACATACATTGTGTCACTTGTGTGTAAGTAATGTATGTAATGTAATGTAGTGTAATGCAATACAATGTAATGCAATGTACTGTAATGTAAGTATGAAATGCACGCATGCATGAATGTACGTAATGTAATGTACTGTAGTCTCATGTAATGTAATGCAGTGTAATGTAATGTAGTGCAACGCATGTAATGTAATGTAATATACTGTAATATACTGTAATGTACTGTACTGTAATGTAATGTAATGTAATGTAATGTAACGGTATGTATGTATGTATGTATGTATGTATGTATGTATGTATGTATGTATGTATGTATGTATGTATGTATGTATGTATGTATGTATGTATGTATGTATGTATGTATGTATGTATGTATGTATGTATGTATGTATGTATGTATGTATGTATGTATGTATGTATGTATGTATGTATGTATGTATGTATGTATGTATGTATGTATGTATGTATGTATGTATGTATGTATGTATGTATGTATGTATGTATGTATGTATGTATGTATGTATGTATGTAATGTATGTATGTATGTATGTATGTATGTATGTATGTATGTATGTATGTATGTATGTATGTATGTATGTATGTATGTATGTATGTATGTATGTATGTGTATGTATGTATGTATGTATGTATGTATGTATGTATGTATGTATGTATGTATGTATGTATGTATGTATGTAATGTATGTATGTATGTATGTATGTATGTATGTATGTATGTATGTATGTATGTATGTATGTATGTATGTATGTATGTATGTATGTATGTATGTATGTATGTATGTATGTATGTATGTATGTATGTATGTATGTATGTATGTATGTATGTATGTATGTATGTATGTATGTATGTATGTATGTATGTATGTATGTATGTATGTATGTATGTGTATGTATGTATGTATGTATGTATGTATGTATGTATGTATGTATGTATGTATGTATGTATGTATGTATGTAATGTATGTATGTATGTATGTATGTATGTATGTATGTATGTATGTATGTATGTATGTATGTATGTATGTATGTATGTATGTATGTATGTATGTATGTATGTATGTATGTATGTATGTATGTATGTATGTGTATGTATGTATGTATGTATGTATGTATGTATGTATGTATGTATGTATGTATGTATGTATGTATGTATGTATGTATGTATGTATGTATGTATGTATGTATGTATGTAATGTATGTATGTATGTATGTATGTATGTATGTATGTATGTATGTATGTATGTATGTAATGTATGTATGTATGTAATGTATGTATGTATGTATGTATGTATGTATGTATGTATGTATGTATGTATGTATGTATGTATGTATGTATGTATGTATGTATGTATGTATGTATGTATGTATGTATGTATGTATGTATGTATGTATGTATGTATGTATGTAATGTATGTATGTATGTATGTATGTATGTATGTATGTATGTATGTATGTATGTATGTATGTATGTATGTATGTATGTATGTATGTAATGTATGTATGTATGTATGTATGTATGTATGTATGTATGTATGTATGTATGTATGTATGTATGTATGTAATGTATGTAATGTATGTATGTATGTATGTATGTATGTATGTATGTATGTATGTATGTATGTATGTATGTATGTATGTATGTATGTATGTATGTATGTATGTAATGTATGTATGTATGTATGTATGTATGTATGTATGTATGTATGTATGTATGTATGTATGTAATGTATGTATGTATGTATGTATGTATGTATGTATGTATGTATGTATGTATGTATGTATGTATGTATGTATGTATGTATGTATGTATGTATGTAATGTATGTATGTATGTATGTATGTATGTATGTATGTATGTATGTATGTATGTATGTATGTATGTATGTATGTATGTATGTATGTATGTATGTATGTATGTATGTATGTATGTAATGTATGTATGTATGTATGTATGTATGTATGTATGTATGTATGTATGTATGTATGTATGTATGTATGTATGTATGTATGTATGTATGTATGTATGTATGTATGTATGTATGTATGTATGTATGTATGTATGTATGTATGTATGTATGTATGTATGTATGTATGTATGTATGTATGTATGTATGTATGTATGTATGTATGTATGTATGTATGTATGTATGTATGTAATGTATGTATGTATGTATGTATGTATGTATGTATGTATGTATGTATGTATGTATGTATGTATGTATGTATGTATGTATGTATGTATGTATGTATGTATGTATGTATGTATGTATGTATGTATGTATGTATGTATGTATGTATGTATGTATGTATGTATGTATGTATGTATGTATGTATGTATGTATGTATGTATGTATGTATGTATGTATGTATGTATGTATGTATGTATGTATGTATGTATGTATGTATGTATGTATGTATGTATGTATGTATGTATGTATGTATGTATGTATGTATGTATGTATGTATGTATGTATGTATGTATGTATGTATGTATGTATGTATGTATGTATGTATGTATGTATGTATGTATGTATGTATGTATGTATGTATGTATGTATGTATGTATGTATGTATGTATGTATGTATGTATGTATGTATGTATGTATGTATGTATGTATGTATGTATGTATGTATGTATGTATGTATGTATGTATGTATGTATGTATGTATGTATGTATGTATGTATGTATGTATGTATGTATGTATGTATGTATGTATGTAATGTATGTAATGTATGTATGTAATGTAATGTAATGCAATGCAATGCAATGTAATGTAATGTAATGTAATGTAATGTAATGTAGTGTAATGTAATGTAATGTAATGTAACGTAATGTAATATAATGTAATATAATGTTCTGTATGTATGTATGTATGTATGTATGTATGTATGTATGTATGTATGTACGTATGTAATGTAATGTAATGCAATGTAATGTAATGTATGTATGGTTGCCAGCTTTGTGCATGGGCAGGTTGGTGAGCTGCATTCATTCATGCGCCAATGTCAGGTGTAATGGGCCATTCTGGCTCGAGGCCAAAATGTCCATCTCCTGTTGGAGGCGTCTCCTCAATTCGTCCCGGCAATCACTCCGTGGCCGTGGCTCTGGTTGAGGAGCAGAAGGTGGCTCGCTGGACGAAGGAGATGGGCATCGAGCCCGCGTTGCGGCCGGTGTTGGCTGTATGCCATCCGGGGCATTGATGAGGCAGCCCCCAGGGAGCGGCCGGCCTCGGCGGTGATGCCACGTGCGGTGGTGAATGCCGCCAGCTCGGGAGCCTGCGCGCAACTGGTGGTCTCCAACGCGCGCCACCGTGACTTGCTTCCGCGCATTTTGGCCACGTCAAGCAGGCATTCCTCTCACAAGCGGCGCGAGATAGAGACCACCATGGGAGGAGTGGTGCAGCAGCTGCTGAGCACTACTGAGCCTGCTACGCTGGATCGGGTTGCCAGAACTTGTGCCGAGCTCGACCACTACTGCCGGGGAGATATGGCACCCAGCAGTTTGGCAGCTTTTCGCATGGCGGCGTTCTTCATGCAGTCCCGCTCCCAATCGCAGGTGCTGCCAGCTTTAAGATGGATCCAGTGTGAGTGGAAGGCCCCGATCTTTCACATTAGGGCACGGTGCCAAGAAGTCGCCCGTGGCTGAGCCCGCCATGATTTGGTGCCTGGAGGAGGCACTCCAGGCTTCTTGTGAAGCCAAGGATCCAAGCTGGGCCGCTCTTGCTGGCGCGTGGTTGCAAGCTTTCGGTTGCATCCGTTGGCAGCATTTGCAGCGGTCGGTGATGACCAAGCTGTCCTGCGGGGCAAGCAGCGAGGGCAGAGGCACGGTTTTCTTTGGTCAGCCCCCCGCACGCTAGCCACCACAGGCTGGGACCTGGGCGCGGTGCTCCTGCGGCTGATGCAGGGGCGTGGTCGACTTGGGCAGCCTGGTTTGGTTCTCCACGCCAGCAGTGGCAATCTGCTGACCATGCCTTCGGCGCAGGATGCCGTTTGTTTGTCCCTGGTCAAGGTGGTCGATTTTCCGGGACGTGGCCTTGATTAGTTCCAAGTCTTGGCGTCAGTCCGGCGTGACATGGGGGTCGCTAGCGGCAATCTCGCAAGTGGAGCTCACGTGGCAACTGGGTCGACAAAAAGGCGGACAGGCAGAGTTTGATGCCCATGCGCTACCAGCGCCAAGTACTTGCAGGCCACAGTCAAGCATGCTTTCCGGATGGGCATTCTGCGGTTGTTTGAGCAAGGCAACGGCGCCTGGCAGGAAGCTGGCAGCATCCAGGCTGATGCGACCCATTTCCTCGCAGAGGCCGCAGCTCCTGGCGGAACCGGAGGACTTTACCTTTGTTCATGCTGGCGAGGAGCTGCGGCACACGGAGGT